TCCCCAGTCGTGTGCAGTTGAGAATAGCGAGCCCTGCTCCACAATCACCGGTTGCTAAGAAGCGCAACTCCACCTGCAGCCCTTTATTGTTCACAGCCCACGGAGCCTTGCGGCCCACCGAGTAGTGCTCTTGTCGGAAGATAATATCATCAGACTCAGAAAAATCGTCTGGAGAAGTTGCGAGAGGCCCACTATGATTCTTCCACTTTGCCGACTTCCAGGCAAAGATACTTTCATCGTCCGAGACTTTTATAATCTCTTCTTGAAGTCTGAGAAAGGCCGTATGCCCTTCTCCATACAGCAACGGCATACTGATCCCGAAGAGACCTAACAGGGAATATGCCCGATCTTCCGCCCTAGTAGTTTGCCTTCCAGCAGCCCAGGCCATCCGCTGCGCCACGCTGATATTCTCCATGTCCGCAGCACCCGAGATAATATCTACAGGGATCTTCGTACGCGCGGATAGCTCAGCCTGCAGGCTGCCCTTTGTCCCGATAGGCTCCCAATATTTGTTCAGGAAGATAATACGCTGTGGAGCAATGAGCTCCTGCAGCGTCCATCCCCTCGTGAACCACCTGCTGTTCCCAATATCCTCTTTGGACACAATATCAGCCAAATAAGCATAGCATATGCTGGCCTCTCCGTACCATTGATACATAGAGTTAATTGCACTGACTATTTCCGTCAGATCAGCCTTGCTGGATTTATCAATACAGCATGTATCAATCCAAATGTAGTCGAAGCCATCAGTATTAGCTACACGGCAGCTTGATTTAATTTTCCCGAATCCCTTCTTCTCTGTGACGTAGGTACTATGGAAATCCTGCAAGTCGGCATAGGTTACTTCCTCCTCCTCCCAAGTGTGAGATAAGATAGCATACGGTGGGGTCTCGCCATCCGGAAAAGTTCTTGTTTCAAAAGCCGCGGTGTGAAGCAAGCGCATATTCCAATCGTATAGAGTAAGGGAGTCTGGAGTGTGGTTATCTTCACACGGCTGAAGAGAATGATAGATTAGTGGGGTAATTAGGTGGCCAGAATTCCCCGTATCTGCAAGTGATCAGATTAGCACTAGGGCTTATTTCTACTTCTATAGTAAGTAAGTTACCAGAGGCCCTATGTGGAAAGTACTCTAAAGTCCAAAAGTCCCGTCCGTCGTCTTGTCTCTTTTTTTTTTTTTTTTTTTTTTTTTTTTTTTTTTTTTTTTTTTTTTTTTTTTTTCCAGATATTGTCACATTTATCTCTCTTTTCGGATGTTATGTCCATCATCAATCAGAGTACTGAAACAGATTATTATTAAGTACACTGCCTTCCATTACTCGAAATAACTATCGTGAACTTCCATAATCAGTTTTTACTTCCTAGTTAGTGAAATCGTTGGTAGCAATGGATCACCGTCACTTAGACTTGACACTGAATTAGGGCATAATCCCCGCATAAAGCTTGACCCATGATAAATTGACAATCTCGGCCAGTCTGACATCTCAGCCAGCCTCACACAACCGCAGTGGCAACTGTCTCATGTGCCCATTTGGGGTTGTAAATAGTGTCTTTGCCGAGTCCACTATTTCGGTCTTCTGCAGGGATCTCGCCCCGTAAGCGGGATCTACGGTTTGCAGAAGTCGTTCCTCAGGACCACTCAATTGATTCGTGGCTTGCGGGATTTGAAAGGGTCCCACTCCAACCTCCCCGAGCAATAGGCTGTCTGGGGTACATACAGTGATTACTGATGTAACCTGCAGCCATGTTTTAGTTGCAACCACTTAACTAACGCTCCGTTCCTGCCGAAGTACGCAATATGGGTTCGCAGCTAAGCTGAGCCTGTTCGTGTGCAGTGACATCGGGCTTCTAATTGGAGGACGCTTTGCATTTTGGTGCTTCGCATTTATGCTTGTGCTTGTATCACTTCTACTAGCGTGGGAGTAAGACAGGGCTCGCTTGGTTTGTGAAGCATATCGTTCTTGTCATACCTTCTACTTCTGAGGGGAAACGTTGGGGCTACTGGTAGCTAAAACTCAACTCTTGACATGATGGTAATCGAAGGTCCCATCTCCTGGCACTATGGCAAGATGACATTCAGATACTGACGCTACAGTAGAGAGTACGGTGTGTTTTGCGTGTTCCGCCTATCCTGCTATCCCTCTAGGCGCCAGTGGAGAACCTTGGATCGGTCTGGCCCTTTCAGAATCCCTTGGATTAAACGGGGATCCTAATTGGGCCGGCCTTCCAGTGCCCCTGTTCTCCTCATCAGGTTCTCACCCCTGTGATAGTGACAAATAGACAACGGTGGCTGACTGAACGAAGCAAAAAGCTCTGAGGTCTGTCTAGCTAGTTATTCTCTCGATTGGCTCTGTCCATCGGCGTCTAGCCATATCTTGGGGACGACACACTGAGCGTGACAGGATCTTTTCAGCTGACCTTCTACCGAACAGATGCATCCTGTCACCTTCACAGCTGAAGGGTGCGAGATATTGTGGAGCTGAGAGTATGGCCTGGGGGACGTCTTGCCGTCGGCAATTCCAAATAGCGAGTCTCTCAAACTTATAAGAAGGGCGTCGGACCCAGCTCACTCAAGTCCAGAGCTGCAACCATCATCTTACGCACTGTTTCATCAGCACTACCACTCCAAGTTCTTCAAAATGAAGTCTTCTCAGATTAGTCTGTTGATCCTCCTCTTCCAAGCCGCCTCCATTCAGGCCAAGATGTACAAGAAGAATATCCCGACATTCGAAGTAGGTCCTGATGTGGTCATCACCGACAACAAGATCGAGTACGATGACCCAGACTGTGATCCCGGGTTTACATGCAGAACAAGCAAGAGCTGTGCTGCGCCGGGTGCCGTCCCCACTCTGACCAGCGACAAGAAGTACTTTGCTTGCTGCTTGAAGGGACTGAACCTTCTTGGTAGCCCGGAGACAGCGTTCGACTGCTGTGCCGAAGGCCATGACCTTGCGGGCTCCGGCGAAGTTGGCTATAGATGCTGCCCAACTGGACAGATCTATGACGGCCTGATCTGCAAACCGGTCTGCGAGAATGGTAAAGTCCTTATCGACGGCAAGTGTGTCTGCCCAAAAGACACAGTCGAAGGTCCGGACGGGACTTGCCATGAGCAAATCTGCACTTCCGGATTAACCTCTGGTAAGCTTCTGCGACGTTTAACATTCTCACTTTGATCATCTACTCATAGAAAATATTGTCTAGGAAAATGCTATACCTTCACCGCGCCCAACGGCAACACCCTAGGCTCCGGCGCCGACGGAATCTACTACGCCAAACCCGACGACATGAACTTCCACTACGGCAAATTCCAGCTTTGTCTCGACGAGAAGTGTGAAGGCGATTTCCCCATCAACCCCCAGGACGGAGTGTATATTAGAGACCTGTACGGCGACGTCAAAACCGGTGCAAACAAGGGCCAATGGCTCAACAACGCAAAGGATGGCGCCCACATCGGCAAGACCAAGGACTTTGCTTCAGCTGGCAAATTCTCGTTGAGCAAGTGGCTATGCGGAAAGTACTGTCTTGGAGGTGTTGAGTGGGGTGTTGGACCCGCTTGTCCTTCCCTGACACCCGCGATTACCTTCTTCTCGCAGGATCCGCAGATGTGTACCGCTTTCGATCTCACTGAGATTCCTTGTGATATCAAGGCGCCTGCCAACAATTGTATCTGGAAGAGTGGAAAGAACCAGTGCTGTGGTAAAGTTGATTGCAGTCTGTGATTGACCACTCAGCGAGTGTGATTGGCTTTTCAGCAGATATGACGTGCATCTTACTCATGGGGTGAATGGGGGACACTGTTTAGCTTGGAGGTCTAGTTGGAGTCTTGACAGTCGAGGTGATAGTTGTAGTTAGCAGTTGGGCTAGTAATTGAAGGTATCACGTTTTATCACTTAGTTGCGTAACTTTCCCTATAGCCCAACCAATATGACAGTAAAAAAAAAAAAAAATTCCGAATGGAATAAGTAGCTCCTTTAAAAAAATACAGATATACTTTCTACATAACCCTAACAAGCCTAAGGCACCAATCTCATACAGCACTACTGACTAAGCAACCCCCCAGGCCCACATTGGCGGAAACAAGCAGCAGAATGCAGACCAACTCGCGACATCATCAGCAATCCCGCGATGATCCCGAGCCTCAATTCTCACGACTCCGAATAGTAATCCGGTACTTACGGCCAATTGAACCCGGCTCTCATCCTGAGACCGGATATACAGCTAGCCTCCAATCCAACGGACCCCGAAAAACGCACTTTATCCACTAAATCACTCCGTCAAGCAACAAGAAACACCAAGAACCAAGAATTCACTTGAGAGGAAAAAAGGAGGACCAAAAATGCCACCGACAAAACAAGAAATCTCCCTTTTGATCAATCCTCTGGTTCCGGAGAATGTGCAGCATAATAATCGAGTATGTTGTTCCTTGCCTTGCCTTTGTCCTGGGATGTCATGTTGTTCAAGGCTTAGACATGCCCTACCACCTTATCTAAAGAGAAAGAGAAAGAGTACTAACAAACCCCAGGTCCTCGCAAACCTCCACTCCATCACATCCTTCCTCCTAGGTCTAACAGCCGGTATTCTCGCCCTGCAGTCCGCGACAGGGTTCCTATTCTACCTAGCCGGTACGGTTCTCGTATCCGGCGTTTTTCATATCTTCCTGCTGCAAAGCTCGAATGGTCAGGGCGCCGGCGGGTTCTTCCCCGGTCCGAATATGGGTGAGATCGAGGGGATCAATGACATGGGTATGGTGTGGGCTTCTGGGAGACAGATGAGGAGGAAGGACTCGTGGAGGGATGTGTGGCTTGGAGGTGGTGTCTTTGGGGAGGCGCTGTCTGGGTTTGTGCTTGGGTGGGCTGGTGTTGGGGGTGTTTTGAGGTGATTTTCTTACTGTTTGTGGGAGCTAATAAAGGTCTTGTCAGGTGGTGCTCTATTTAGTAGAATGTGTTTGACTGTGTGACTATTTGTCTATATTATATCTATTTGGTATCCTGAATGTGAGGATTTTATGGATTATTGGAATCGGTGGGCTTGCTGTTGCTTTCTGGCAATATCTTGTTGGTCTTTTTGTAGGAGTCGATGTTGCCCTGTAGAGCGTTAGTAAACTGGCTGAACGGAATCGATAAGGAAACGAGGCAGGTCAAGGGGGAAAATACCTTTAGCAATGCCCATAGATAGGGCACATAGATCACTTCACTGTGACTGCTCTCATCCACCGACACATTCCGCTGCTCCTCATCCTTCTTCGACTTCGGCTTAATCCACACATTACCAATAAACAACCCAGTAACAAGACTGAGTCCCATAATTGGCAAAACAGAGATATAAGCCCACATAATAGCATCCCGCCCCGCCAACCTGACACTCCTCTGCGCCTCAGCCGGCAAATCCGCAATAAACGCCAAAGAATTCGTGTCATGAACATCAAACCCTCCACCGGCACCCCCAGAAACAACTGACACCTGGGCGAATTTATTATTGAAAACACTGCCCATGATAGTCAAACAGAGAGTACCGCCAAACGGCTGCGCGAATCGCATCAACGACTGCGCAGGCGCGATCTTCTCGGGCCACACGCCCACCATATGCAATGTGGCAGGCATGAAGCGGAGCCCTGTCCCCGCGCCGGTTATGGCCATCATACCGTTGATCAGGCTGGTATTTTGGGTGTGAATGGCGTATACTACCATAGCGAGGCCGACGGTGCTGATGATTGTGCCAATGTTAAGGGGGAAGAAACTTTGAGCTGGCCAGACGTTGCAGAGGAAGATGGCGATGTAGACACCGACTATGTGGTGGTTTGAGTCAGCTTGTTTGGGGAATGGATATAAGAAGGGGGGAGGCCAGGTAGGGAGTAGGTACGTACCTCCCAGTCCGGGGATGTAGTATAGTAACTGTACGCCTGCTTTTGAGGCCGGGTATGCCTCTACGAGAGAGAAGTAGATTCCGATGTAGTAGAAAATGGAATACATTGCTTGTGGTATGTCAGGATCTTTGTAAGTAAATTTGGGGCTGATGGCGAAGTTTACCTGCTCCAGTGGAGAACTGCACGATCGCAAGCCAGATCGTGTCTTTTCTGGCGAACATGCTGTACGGAAGCATGGCTACCTGCTTTGGGAAGATACGAGCAAATATCCGGCCTGGCTCGAGGAAGTACTCGTAGACAAAGAATAAAACGAAGCAAACACTGCCCACGACCAACGGGGCGAGGACCTGAGGCGCTGACCAAGGGTACGTAGCTCCACCCCATGCAGTTGCGAGGATAATGAGTCCAACACCGAAAATGAAGAGAACAGATCCGATAATGTCCACAGTTGCGAGAGCTGGGAGAACCCCTGACAGTCGGGAGCCCTTCTTGAACATTGTGCCTTCGACGAGTTCATTGCGCAACAAGATAAAGACTAGTATATGGGCGATAACAGCGATCTATTCAATTGAATTAGCGACTATGTCCCCGAATGCGAGATAGTCAATCGTACAGGTATGGATATCACAAAACAGTATCTCCAGTTGGCCTGACCCAGTTAGTTAACCGGTGCAATGATATTCAACAATATCAGTGTCTTACATCTGTTAGATAACTAAGTAACTGTCAGCAAGTTACTATTAGAATTTGGAATCCGGGGATATCTTACCCTCCCACAGTTGGTCCGACAGCGTAGCCTATGCCCCCAACAAGGGTAAAGAGGGACTTAGTCTTTGCGCTTTCCTTCAGAGACACTTTGTCTGAGAGGATAATCATAACGACGTTCATCAGCCCGGCGTCGCTCACGCCCTGCAAAGCTCTACCTAGTAGAAGCATTGCCCATGTCTGTGCAGCTGCACACAGCACACTTCCAATGATCATCAAAAACAGGGAGAGATGGAGGGTCTCGCCACGCCCGAAGACATCAGCGAACTGACCGAACATGGGGATGAAGGTGGTTGACGTTAACGTAAAGGCAGTCACAATCCAGTTTAGCTCGTCAAACTCATCTATAACAATTACTGTCAGTCCCGGTAGGTGATCAATGCTGAACAGGGAAAACTCACTAAAATGGGAGGCTATGGATGGCAACGCCGTAGCGACGATGGTCAGGTCCAATGTTGCGAGTATAAACGGCAGACACAGCCCAGCAATAAGCTTCCAACGATAGACGCGAGCATCATGTTTCTGTTTCTTGCAGACTTGACACTTTTCGTCGCTCTTTGGTAAGTCTCGAGGTACTAATACTCTATCCTCTTCTGTTATTGAAGCTGTTCCTTGAGAATTCCGAGCATATTCAGCAGACGCTCGACTCCTAAGCTCGACCTGGAAAGGTCGCGAGTGTGGGCAAGCCTGTTTTTTCTCTGTAATAGGTTTTGGGGGATCATTGTTCGGGTTCTGATTCCTCGATTCTTTTATCTTTCGATGTATATATTTTGCCGCGATAAACATTTCGGTACCTTCGTGACTTCAATAAGAAATAAAACAGGCTAGATTTCTGGATCTGACCTAGAAAGAAAGTGCAAGACCATCATGCTTATATGCCATTTGAAAAACACCAGGCAGATTTTAATATCAGACTGAATTGGGTATGCTCGTCGGACAGTGCCAGCATCAGCCACAGCGTGGAGAGCCTCTCAGATCTGAGTTAGGGCTTGGATTGGCCCGCCAAACCCAATTAACGGATACGATCTAGACGAATTCGGAAAGCTTTTCGGAGCTAAACCTAAGCAAGTTAGACGTACGAATCGATTGCTATGAGGGTTCAAGCTTTCGGTGGAGTATTTCCGAAGCACAGCCTCATCGGCCTAGATTCACGAATGGAATGTTGCCCCCTAATAGTCAGGTACCAAGGTTTTACGAAGGGTTGTAGTCATTGATTGGTTGACAGGAGAATACGATGTGACATGGTTTCCTAAGCACAGCCTATACTACTAGTAGTATACAACTCGTAGTCACCTCAAGGTGTTAAATTGCACACCTGCCTTAGGCAGAAACTTAAGGTACAAACCTTGTTGACTGAGCCCTGATGATTAACAGAAGTACTTAGTTATCCGTTTCAGGTTAATTGTTACTATAATCTGGTACGCTACGTCATTGTGCCATATTAGATCGAAGATGTTCAAGCTAGTAGTTATCAGGAGAAGGACCCTTGATATCAAGTGACAGGGTTGGAAACAGTCAGGACCATAGTTTCCCCAGTATGACAGGAATTAATGCCTCAGGCCAACAAAATGAAAAACCCCCCGCTGTTAGCATTTAAGTTATCCTTATTGAGAATGAACACTAAATAGGTGTTTCCGAAACATGGAATGATATGCTTATGAGCCATGGGTGGCACGGAACAAACGAGATCCGCGGGGGTGGAATGATTCTGATATCATACGATTCTTGTCCTCCCCCAAACCAGCTCGTATATTATCTACACTACGACCAGAGCCATAACCACCTATCTTGACAACTGGAATATGAATCTACGACCAGTCCAGTTACTACTTTATCCCATACAAAATAGTATTTCTAGATTCTTCACAACAATGACCACCTCATCGTATCCGTTGTCGTCATCACTGACACATCCCCAACCCGTGATAGTGGTTGGATCCGGACTCGCCGGATTATCAGCTGCGACGCAACTCATCTCACATCAAGTCCATGTCATAATGCTCGACAGGGCCGAAAAGCCCGGTGGTAATAGTATCAAAGCTTCGTCAGGAATAAACGGAGCGCCAACGAGATTCCAGCCTGACGATGCCAGTGATTCTCAAGAGCTTTTTCTCACCGACACGATCAAATCAGCGGGAGATGTATTCGCATCTTCTCCGGCTGAGGAACATAAAAGGCGGGAATCTCTTATTGCCACCCTCACTACTTCGTCTGCTGAGGCGGTTTACTGGCTGACCGATGACAAAGGCGTCGACCTGAGCAAGGTTTGCCGGTTGGGGGGACATAGTCGGCCGCGGACTCATCGTGGGGCTGGTCAGCGACCGCCTGGGATTTCTATCGTTAGCACGCTGTTGGATTCATTGAAGGCTAGTTCGCTGTTTCAGCTTCGGACCGGGGCTAGAGTTACGAAGGTGTTGCGCGAGGCGGATGAGGTCTTGGGAGTTCAGTATACAGGTGGTGAGAAGGCCGAAACGGATCATGATACTACGACTACGCTGAATGGGCCGGTTGTGTTTGCGAGCGGTGGATTTGCAGGAGATGCGCATGGACTGCTGGCCAAGTATCGGCCGGATTTGGCTGGAATACCTTCGACGAACCAGGCTGTTGAGGGATCACAGCCACTCCTCGAGGATATAGGCGCTGGGTTAGTGGATATGGAGCAAGTTCAAATCCATCCGACCGGATTTGTGGATGAGAAGGAACCCTCGGCGTCCGTTAAGATTCTTGCGGCGGAGGCGCTCCGTGGAGAAGGCGGGATTCTCCTTTTGGAGAATGGCAACCGGTTCGTGAACGAGTTGGAAACTCGAGAGCACATTACGAATGTTATCATGCGCTCAGCGAAACCATTGGAGACAGCCACGCGTCAGTGGGACGTTAACCTTCTCTTGGACGAAGGGACCGCTGCCGCCTTGGGGTCGCATATGGGGTTCTATCTGTGGAAAGGGCTGATGCGCAAGACAACAGTGCACGAACTTGATTCGTCGACGCTCGAAGCCATCAAGTCATATGCAGATATTGTCTCAGGCAAACAACAAGATGAGTTTGGCCGTACAGCTTTCGGGAACTGGACTTTGAAGGACGTGACGCCGGATTCTGTAGTCTATATTGGGAAGGTCACCCCTGTAACTCACTTTACAATGGGAGGAGCTACGATCGATGAGCGCAGCCAGGTGTTAGATAAGGACGGAAGCCCCATTAAGGGCGTCTGGGCTGCAGGAGAGGTCACCGGTGGCCTACACGGTCAGAATCGCTTGGGAGGGTCGTCTCTTCTGGAGTGTGTCGTCTTCGGAAGGATAGCGGGCAATGAAGCCGCGGCTTTCCATAAGAAGCACTATGCTTCCTGATGTACGATTCTTTGTTGATAGTGGAGTTTTATTGTTTTCCTACTTTAACTCATGAGCGGTGATTGTTATACATGCAGGATCATTCCTCCTTTTTCGGTGGCTCCACCTCCAATGCTAGCTCTAGCTCTGGCTCACACTTTTTCATAGCTTTCTGGTACCCTTCCCTCTCTCCAACACGCTTAAGATACTGGACCACATTCTCATACTCCTCCAGGCTATAGGGAAGCCAATATCGCGCCGTAGTAAGCACAAAAACAGCCATCACATCCGCCACCGTAAACTCGCTACCGGCCAGCCACTGGTTGTCACGTAGTCTTTCATTGAGCGCTGCGAATGCCTTCCTAAACCGGTTGTTTGTGATGGTCATAGAGACGCTATCCCGACTGACGTTGAGAGAGCGCAGCGACATAGACTGCATTATGGTGGGCATAAATGTCCCGTTAGACCAGTGCCACCAGTACAAGAAGTCGGCATAGGCTGGGTGCGTCGGAGGCAAGAACAGCTTCCCCCCACCGTACTTGTGACAGATGTATTCAATACATGCGCCGCTCTCAGCCAGGGTCAAGTCGCCGTCCTGGATGATGGGCGCGGTCTCCTGAGGATGCAGAGCTTTGTACTCAGGTGGGGCTAGGAGGGGTGCCCGCTTGTACATCTTCAGCTCATAATCGATAGCCAGTTCTTCACATAGCCAGACAACACGCTCTGACTGAGAGATGTTGAGATGATGAACAGTGAGAGTCATGGTCGTAGAAGTCTCTGAGACGCGAGCGTGATAAAGTGAGGGTCACAAACTAGTTTTTTGGTACGAATTGTTTTTTAGGCGTTGATCTGAAGATTTGGCGTGGAAGAGGTGGGGATCATATACTCTTCCACACAGCCTGCCAAGGGGCCACTATTCTCCTTCTGAGCGTATCCCCCGTGGCACTTCAGTTAGTCCGATACGCTCTAAGGCACCACGATTATAAGCCATTCCCGGGACCGGGGCCGGGCTTAACGGACTTTAGGGCATGTCCACTGCCGAGACTTCCGTGAGACCCCGAAGTGGTCCATCTCAAGAGGTTCCTCGACCAACTGCAAGTCATGGTCAGCTTATCCAGATTGACCAGTGCTTCTTAGGGTATCTGTTCTAAGCAGGTCTGAAGATATGGTTATGCAATTTAGAGATTCTCTCGTATATGTTCATTCTGTCTTGGCTTCTCTATATTATGCTGTTGCTGGGGCGTGTCGATTGAGTTCATTCTGGCCGTTGACACCAGTTAGGAGAAGGAAAAAAAAAAAAAAAAATGAAAAAGAAAAAGATAGAGAGGAATAAATAGGACAGAAGCATCCTTATATACCTAACTTCCAGCCATGCAGGTAGGTCAGGTGGTTCCTTAGTAGGTCTTGTGCTATACCTAGGGATATCTGCCTTACGTAGTTGTACAGACAAGAAGTATGGATATTCAGGGCGGAGTTTTCATGAGTATTATCATATGGAACAAATCGAATATCAAGATTTAGAAGACTTTCTATCTCTTTATTTCTCTAGGTGGCTTTTCTTTTCCTTGAGACTCTAACCTTCCCATCTCAGAATCCAGAAATCATGATATGTACATGGGACCCCTCATGCTCTAGGCCTACAATTTCTTCCCATAGTTATGTTGATGAAACCAAGCAACGTAATCAATCTAATCAAGGAATTCAACCTACGGGACCTTTTGTCATGAAATATTGATTAAATCCGGCAGCTAAGGATCTATAGAAACCACAATTAAGCTAATTTCGCAGCTCACTGCAGCCTTGTTGGGATGTATATCTAAATAATACATTGAAGGAGTAGTTATATACTTTCTGTCTATGACCCTGCGCACCTCACTCTTGACCTTCTGCGAGATCTCACAGTGCATCTTATTAACGCGCACACCCATCGGTTGGAAGAGCTCAATAAGAAATTGCCCTCTTACGCTATACTGTCACATACATGGAGAATACTCAGAACGAGGTATCATTTCGCGACATCACCAAGGAGGATGCTGATAATACCAGTGTCAAACACTGGCCAATCAAACTCGAAGATTGTTGCAAACAGGCAGAAAACGATGGCCTTGGCTAGTATGTCTGGGTTGATATTTGCTGCATTGATAAATCCCAGTCAGTGATACTTGGTGAAGCTATCAACTCCATATTTCGATGGTATAGGAAGGCTACAATCTGTTATGCCTATCGTGCTGATGTCACGGTAGGTGGACTTCTCCCGGTAGCAAGAAAAATATGAAACTATTACGGATGACCGAAAAGGCAGCTGGTATCCCTCGTTCGTTCCTACGAGGGACAACCGCATTGACGGATACGTGTATCGCACAACGCATGTCCTGGGCTTTAAAAAGGGGGTCTAGCCTAGATCAGAGTCTCAGAGCAAGAATTAAATCTGTTGGTAGTAGTGGGAGAAGCTCTTTATCAAATAGCTTCGATTTCCTTTATAAACTCCTCAAGGGCAATTCTCTCCTATTCAACTTTGGAGAGAAACTTGGGCTGTGTATATTGAACTAGAACTCCTTCGATATTACAATTCCAATGATCTACGGCGAGGATGGTCGCGCATTCATTAGTCTGCAAGAAGAAATAATTCAAGGGGCTAGAGGTGATTCGGTTGTTTATGGTGACTGGGATCAACAGAATCTGGCCCGGTGAGTTTATAAAGATATAATTTGGCCCCAGCTAATAGTAAGCAGGTGTAGTATATAGATAGAATGTGATAGACGTCAAATAGGAAGGTAGAGCTCGTCTTAGCTTCACCACAGGCCATTCGCCAAGGCTACTAGACTCCAGCACCACGGTGAGGTGCGAGCTCATCGCTGGAGGCCTGATCGATATCGAAACAGGCACCCGCATCCATTGGAAGCCTGATCGATTCGACACAGGTACCAATTTCTGCTGGGATATTAAATTCAACCCCCGTAGAAATTTCAGACTCCACCGGGATGGCGCTCAAGCACAGCTAAGGCTCCACCACGGGGCGCGAAAAAAGCCAGGACGTGAACAGTTCAAGTGGAGCTTCCTCCTTTCTCTCGAAGCTATAAAGCTTCGACATCCGAACCATCAGCTGCCTCTGGTTCATGGAAGCACAGAGTATCCTCGCATGCTGTGGGCCCACAAAGGAGAAGAGAAGAAGTGGAAATGTCTGTTCGTTCGGGAAGGCTGGGTTTTCATGGCAGATTTCCTCAAAGACCCCCTGCTGCACATCAAACAGATTCGCCATCTCCTCCTCACTCTCTACTTTTGGCTGGTTGACACGGCCATGCATTACGGCAAGAATTACGGCAAGCTCCCCGTATAGAATGGAGTTGTCTCTAGCATTCACTGGTTGGGAAGCCCCCACAGCAATATGGGGAATTGGTGAGGCATTTTGCTTCTCAGGTTCAAGGAAAAAGTTGATTTCCCAGTGACCTCCATGAGGTGGATGCCACCCTATATCTGGGCAACAACGCAAGAAAGGATTAGGGAACCTAGCAATTACAATACATCAGTGACTGAACTTCAAAAAGCAATCACCAGGGCGTAAAGTAAAAGGCATCGTACTTACGTTACGGGGTGTACTCCGCAGAAATCCATTAAGCACGTATGCCGGCGCGGGAGAGTTCGCCCGGCAAGAGCCCACTGATGGAAGAACTGGACCGCGTCACCAGAACAATCTTCAGGGGACCAACACCGGTCATCCTCGGTGTCGCCCCTATCTTCCGGCCGGATGTAGTCAGGGAACGGAATGTCCGCTCTAGGACGGTGGTTGTGTGTTATCGAACGAGCCAGCGGGGCAAACAGGGCCGATGTCACTGAAGGAGAATCCACAGAGCTCGCTTCGATATCCCAAGGAACGAGGGTAATCCCATGTCCTGAAAGGTATGATGCCATAACATCTCCCTCTGAACCGTTCATACTCGAGACGAAGGGCTTGTCCTTTCCTCCAGTAACGACCTCGTATAGCCAGTTCACTTGCTCGCGTGACATGTTTCCTGTCATTATTAAAGGAAGCTAAACAAAAAGGGATGGTTGGGGATCAAAGACGTAAGTAGTTGAAGACTTGCAGTCGGCTGTCAGTTACAGGTGGTGGGATGGTAAGATGGGTGAAATATTTATGGTGGTAGCAGGAACAGAAAGCAAGGCCACAATCATGTGACAGAGATTTATCACAATGACGAGAACGCCATGTAAATATTGAATTTTTCCGGAATCCTAAGATTTAAATGAATGAATGAATGTCCCCGTCCCCAGAGGGAAGAATTCCCTGGTAGGGTGTGAAATTATCATTACACCTGCTTACCATTACAGTGGGGGTCTAAAAGTATGTGACTCCCTAGTATTCATAAAGGTACCTACAGCTTCTCGTACCAGGCAGATAGAACCACTGGGTACCTTTATGTATAGGGCTTCACATACTGTTGGACCCCCACTATAGCTTGGGCCAAATCTACCGCAGAAAACCCCAAGAAGGCAATAAGCAATATCATCCTTCCACTTGAATCGTCCCAAAGCGAGAATGGCGACAACATATAACTAATAATCTAGTACGGAAAGACTACTGATCTATATTATGGAACTTCGGTAGATTAATAAATTCAAGCAACATAAGAACAATAAAGATTTATGTAATCATGCCTATGCTAACACATGAACGAGTAACAGCGGTAGATGAAGGTAAAGAAGTTTATTACCTCACTTAGCTTTCTGGTCGTCAGTGTTATGGACAGCTATTCCTTCGCGAGAGCAGGTGTGCAATCTCCATCAAGGCGCAAAGATTATTTTCGCTACACCCACCTATGTGGCTATTTGTATTATGCGCTAATACATTGTATCTTTAATTATATTTATCCAATACATCTTATGAACAGTCCCGACTCAAGTTATGAACACATAATCCACTGTAAAAAGGAGCTCGTCTTAGCTTCACCGTAGGCCATTTGCCATCGGCTACTAGACTCCAACACCACGGTGAGGTGCGAGCTCATCGCTGGAGGCCTGATCGATATCGACACAGGCACCCGCATTCACTGGAAGCCTATTGGATACAACACAGGTACCAGTTCTGCTAGGGATTCTAAAGGTCCTCAAGAGGGATCCTTACTTCTCTATTGAGAGTTTGGGGGTTAGCCAACGTCAAATACTCTAGTTTGAAGAAGACTTACCACACAGAGAGTTCGGACGGATGATTCCTCGCCTTCCAGGCTGCAGAAGACAGTTAGCATGTTAAACTATGGCTATAATAATGTCGTAGTATCACCTACGCGTCAGTACCAGGAGCAGCGGCAGGAGCGCTGATGTTCTCCGGCTGATTCTCGCCTGCTGGGGCCGTGGCCATCTCGGTGTCCTGGGTATCTCCAGTGGAGGTATGTTGTTGTTGCTGCCGCTGCCGGGCTCGATAGGCTTGCAGCCGAGCACGCGAACGTCTCTGCTGGTGATTGAGCTGCCTTTCGCCTCCCTCGTTCCGGGTTCCAGCCGAGGAGTTATTGTTTCCATCGGCGGCCGCGGGCAGAGGGCGGATGCTAGAGCCACCAGGTGTGGGCGTATTCGCACCACCAGGGGCCCCACCACGACGACGACGGCGACGGGAAGGAGCCGAAGCACCAGAGAGGTCGACAGGGGGGTTAGAGGCAGGACGGACTGAGGCGATAGCAGCCGTCACGATGCTATCCTGTGTTCAGTGTTAGCTTTGTTCAGATGATAAATCCTATTTTATGTTCTTTCTTACCTGCTCTTCCAGGTACTGCCCACGGAGAGTCCACAGTTGCCGACCGAGTTCGGTCATGGGGCATCTCTTTCCTGGATGTTGGGTACCACATCCATTTCTGCAGACCCAAAGCTTCGTTTTGACCGTCTTGTAATAGTCAGCAGATTCCATTCGAATAGCTTCATCTTCTGGGACATACTACGCGGTCAGTCGGGGGCTTCCTGCCATCTCGACCACGCCGACCACCGCGGTTAGGGTCTCCCCCAGCTCCAGCGGCTGCAGCAGTGGTCGGGGCATCAGCCCACTTGCTATCCTGGAGACCAGACATAGCACAAAAAGAAGAAACGTATGGGGGGCGGAGGGAGATAAGTAAAGAGCTTGTCGCTTTGTACGTAGTTAACTATCCTTGGTTCCTCAGCAGAGCTGTGATAATGTGGAAGCAGGTTGTTGTGGGAAGAAGAGAGAAAAGGAAGAGAGAAACAGAAGAGAGAAAAAGAGAAAGAAAACAGAGAGGGACCTGGGGGTTTGAAAAAAAAACAAAAAAAAAAAAAAAAAAAAAAACAAGGTCATTTATTCACTGATTGTGGCCTCCCCAGCCTGAGGGACTAACACAAGATGCATCTCCTATCTTTGGTTCTTGAAATGTTGAGTCCTCCTATCTTGTTTGCTTTCTTCATCCTAGTACCAGACATCGTCGCACCCTTATTCGATCTTGACTTTTCGAGAAATATTCTTCTTCTTCATTATCAGGATGGCTAATGACCTCCTGCCCCAAACTAAAGGAGAGTGGAAACAGTACGCTGGGAGACACAAGGTGAAGAACCAATCCCTGCGAATGAGTACGAAACTGTATTCCGCATCTCAAATCAGCTATAAGCATTTTCTTCTTCTTAGGACCATCCTGCCCCCCATTGTTCCCCGAAACCAGGTCAGCTACCAGACCCTTGGCATAGAAAATCTGATACAGCAAGCCAATCAGTACCTGAGTGATCCGGCGTTCAGAGATTATATCTCAGATGTCACCACCAGGCAGTCGCAGCCGGTCTGGGATGCACCTTGGGGAGGACACGACAGACTGTTCAGGGTTCCAGCTATCCAGCAACAGCAAGTAATTCATGACGCGGCACATTACGGGTCTGTTCGGAGCGAAGCCAGTGTAAACGCTGCCTTCGTTACCTTTTTACAAGCTATCGCGGATCTGGTTCCTCAGTCTGGTCGCCAATGGACGGCTGATAGAATCAAGCTGACGGCAGACTTTAGTACACAACGACGCAAAAGACAGTTCGTTGCATATACCGATGGCCAACTGGAGGATACCTTCAGTCGTCGGATTCTGGCACTCATCGAGTGTAAACGAATGCGGCGGGCGAAGCATTCCCCAGCCGTTGATATGCAAGAGGTGGCACAGATGGTGGCATGGGTGAGGGAGCACCCCGGCGGACCAGGAAATGATAAGCGAGTTCTTGTGTCGAAGAATGGGACCGATGTTTATATTTCGGTCTTTGACTACGACCAGGAATGGTTACGTTATCTCAATGGAGGCCCCGGGAGTATCGTGCATGCCGGATTTGCCTGCATGCGCAGATACGGCCCCTGGAGGATCCAGGTGGCAAGTCATATGGAGCATTTTGCTCGAATCATCATCGCCCTGCTACTTCTGTAGCCCACTGAAAGACCCATGTTTGTCCCATCGCGTGGAGATCTTTGAGAAACAAACCTCTTATCCCTAACATCCCGTTGATTTGTAATCCGGGTGCCTGTGTCGCATCGATCAGGTCTCCAGCGATGAGCTCGCACCTCACCGTGGTGTTGGAGTCTAGTAGCCTTTGGCGAAGCTAAGACGAGCTCGGGTGTATAATAATTATTTTTGCCCTGAAGGAAGACTAAATCTCTTGCGGTCTTTGCTAGTTCTATTTGCCTTGTTGTTTGTATCTTAGAGTAGAGCCCGTAGACTCAAGTTGATAATGCCATGTATAGGGGTTTATACCCAGAAGTCAATAACAACACGGCCAGTCCTTCAACTGGAAGTTTGCAAAGAATTGCTTGGGGTAACTGTTTTACACAGTGGCGTGGAACTTTTCCAATCTTATAATCAACAAGAGGTGACCACCTGAAGTGAAGCAACAGCTGTCGTTCAATTGTCTCGAGAGTGTAAAGTGAGCAAAGTACATGTGTATAGGGATAATTGGTGATTGCTTACTGCCGAATTTGAACTGCCTTAGTACTCTGTAATATCATCATTGTGGTGGTGTGAAAAGGTCAAATTTTCCTAAGCTACGTTAAGTGGCAGTCACTATTTCATAGAGATGTATATGAATCCCTCCCCCCAGCTACCTTCAAGCTTCTCTCCATTTCCTACACATTTGCCACAAAAAGCAACTACTACTATGGCGGAGAACACTGGAGATTCAGCACCAAGTGCTGTGCCTACTGACGAACTTCTTCATCGTCATCCGAAACGTGTCATCTTACGACTCCGTGCAAAGGACTTCAACTCTTGGACTTCAGAAGATGTTGATAATACTATCAAAGCATATCTAGCCTTTTCAGGGTGTCCAGTCAATGAATTTGGCCAAAATATCCATCACTTATATCTCCAAACTCCTCAAATAGCGACACGGGGATTCTTCTACATAATCCTTGATCTTCACAAGGATCAGCTCAGGGATCCCGACCTGAACCGAGTACAGCCGGACCTCCGCCGCGTTCACCGAACTGAGGACGGTACAATATACGTATATTACACATAGTCTGGTCTGAGGACTTTGGTTAATACATATATATAGTTCAGTCAACCGGTATCAGAACCTAGTTATAGAGCAGAAACTTCTACGGCAGATAAGATACTACAGTGATAGGTGTTGTCCATGGGCGGGGGCCAGGGTGTTTGGATGTTAGGGATTTGGAAGAGGAGCAATTTTTCAGCAGTTGGCTTTTACTAAATCCCTTACTTAAGGATCAATTTAATCATCTACTATGTTGTTAAGTGAGTGACGCCCCTCTCAATCTCCTCCACCGCACCAGGCACCTTGACTCGACGCGAAAAGAACGAGTTTACTAAGAAATAGGAAATAACTAAAAGTTCCCTACCACCTATAATACCAGATAATCAAGTTTTACTAGCTATAGACTTGATTTGCAAAAGAGTACCAGTGTTATCGTTGGTGCATGAAAAGAATGAGGTCTTAAGAGTTAAAGGTGAAACGGAGTTGGAAAAGTAGTGGAGATACTGTGAAGCCGACTACTGTCCGTCCACCTGCCACTATTATATGGCACTTCAATGAACGCTGCGGAAGCGAAACATTCTCTCTCTCTCTCTCTCTCTCTCTCTCTCTCTCTCTCTCTCTCTCTCTTCCTTTCTAACAGAAAGTCCAGGTCCGTTGGCGGAGATGAAGTATATTCGGTAAAGACGCGAGAGCTCTCACGGGAGGGCCAGCTAAAATTCATTTCATCACTAGAGCAGCCTTGATATCTGTTGCTGGAACTACAGACAATATATAATTGGGAGTACTTCTTCGTAACACGTAAAATTCTGTTGAACAGGGAAGAAGAGAGAGCCTATGGATTGTTGTTATAGAGTATAATTCTAAAAACCTTGTTATATTGGGCTCACTAAATATGAGATGTCACTTTTGGCCTAAGGCCCAAGCAATCCAGTCGTGGACATTTTGAGTATATTTAGTTATCCTGGGGTAAGTTTCTGATTGGTGGCATGTCGCCAACTAATCTTACTACTATTTGGGTCAAGTCACCTGAAAGAGGGGTTTGTTTATCAGGCTGTCACTTGTGGTTTGTACTGTACTAACTTATCTCTCGTCAATAGACAACTCTGCGATACCGACTGACCTAAATGGCTGGGCGATGCCACGACCTTTGTCATGACGACTACACGGTGGGCTGCGTCAAACTCGCAGCTGCCCAGGAAATGCTCGATGAGAAGCATGGCGACTTAGTAACCGGTGGCGACGACATCATATATACCCTGGGCCGCATCGGTGGACACAATATCGTCATTGTTTGTATACCAGAAGGTCAGATGGGAACAAACCCAGCGGCTGCAGCTGCAACTCGAATGCAGTCAGCCTTCCCATCCATCCGATTCAGGCTCATGGTCGGTATCGGCGGAGAGGTTCCATCGACGAAGCCTGATATTCGACTTGGAGATGTGGTGGTTAGCAGGCTGGAAAATGACCATGCTGGGGTAGTCTAGTACGACTTTGGAAAGACCACTCCAGGTGGTTTTAAGAGAACGGGATTTCTTAATGCACCAGCCAAGATCCTCCAGATTGCTGTTTCACACCTGAAGGCTAAGCATATGCGCGGGGAAAGTCAACTTTCCGAGTATATTCTGGAACTTGCTCACCTCCCAACATTTACTCGAGATCATGCAGGGCCCGATGTCCTGTTTGAATCTCACTATAGCCAGCACTACATGTGAAGGCTGTGTTAAGGAGAGAATACTGAGAAGACCGGTGCGTGATCAACTGGGCCCTGAAATCCATTATGGAACTATCGCGTCTGGTAATCAAGTGATGAGAGACGCTGCCGAACGAGATCGAGTAAGCGCATATCTAAGTGGAGTACTTTGTTTTGAGATGGAGGCAGCAGGGCTGATGAATGAATTTCCTTGTCTTGTGATATGGGGCATCTGTGATTACTCTGACTCTCACAAAAGCAAGGCATGGCAGCCATATGCTGCGGGTGTTGCAGCGGCATACACGAAAGAGCTGCTATCGGTTATGCCTCCACTTGAAGTGAGGTAGTCACCTGTTGTTGGGAAAATCGCCGACAAGCCAACAGGTCAGTATTCCCATTATTGCTAGGGGGACAATGGTACATGGTCTAAGTCTTCGATAGGTGCCAAAAGATTCTTCACAGTTCCATTTCAGAGAGATGATAAATTTTTCGGCCGTGAAGCTATCATGGCTGAAATGCATAACAAATTCCAATCAACCGCGTTACGCAATCACCTTAGGGTTGCCTTGGTGGGTATAGGTGGAATAGGGTATGTCAACATGCAGTCTCTTTTCTCGATTGGAGTGCTTGATCTGAACAAGAGAAAGGAAGTCTCAGATTGCGATTGAATACGCTTACATAGCACGAGAACGTAACCCAGAGCTGTCCGTATTTTGGGTTTATGCTGGGAACGCAGCACGCTATGAACAGGCGTACAGGGACCTTGCAAACGAGCTTGACCTTCCAGGACGGGATGATCCTACTGTGGATATTTTCAAGATAGTGCCTCATTGGCTCTCTGATAATACCAATGGGCAGTGGCTGATGATTCTAGATAACGCGGATAATGAGGATCTTTTCACGCAGGAGATCGAGGTGGGAATGAAACCAAACTCGCCCAATGCAAGCGTAAGGGCGCCCCTTATCACTTCTATCCCTCAGACGGCAACTGGGTCGGTTATTATTACATCCCGGAATTCAACAGCAGCCCGGAATCTTCTCGGTATACATGACAACATTATTCCTATTGACGTGATGGATGGAGCCAGTGCTTTGGACCTTCTACAAACAAAGGTTACTCTTGATGAGCAGTCATTGATCGATGCTCGAAGGCTGCTCCAAGACCTGGAATATATACCTCTTGCGATAATTCAAGCTGGCTCATATATCCAAGAAAAGTCCCCAAGGATCACAGTGGGGGCATATCTCAAAATGCTACGAGTGAAGCAAACTTGGCTACGCTACTTGGCAGTATGGCTATTCAAGATTCCAGGCGTGACTACAGTTCCCAGCATGTGGTTACAGCAACTTGGCAGATATCCTTCCAGCAGATACAAGCCTCTAGCCCTATGTCGTCTGATCTACTTGCTTTGATGAGCATGTTTGACCGGCAGGGAATCCCCGAATACTTATTACAACAGAACATGACTCAACTGCAATTGGAGGATGCAATCCATCCACTGATCAGCCATTCACTCATTAAGGAAAGCGGAATCCAGCAGCACTCCTTTGAGATTCACCGTCTTGTGCAGATCTCAATCAGGAACTGATTAAAGTCCAACAACCAGTTGGAGTTATAGAGTGAAAAGTCTGCAGAAATAATCGCGGCTGCTTTTCCATCAGGAGATTTCGACACATGGCCAGAATGTCGGAACTTACAACCGCATGCTAAGGAAATAATGCGCCAAGCCACAGAAAACAACATTTCAAGCATAGTGAACCGAAATACGAAGGTCAGGTGGCATCAACGTCTCAAGAGGAAAGTCATGTCCCGACCCAGGGATAAACTTCCTACAGATAGTCACGGATCGCTGATGTGGGCAACAATTGGAAATAACGCCGGTCGGTATTTATACTTTCAAGGAAAGTATCAAGAAGCAGAGGCGATACATCGACATGGTCTTGCAGGCTTAGAGAAAGTACTAGGTCTGGACCATCCTGACACGCTTATCAGTGTTAATAACCTTGGCTCAGTCCTTGAAAGCCAGGGCAATTATAAAGAAGCAGAGGGAATGTACCGACGTGCACTCAGGGCTCATAAGAAAATTTTAGGCCTAGACCATCCTTACACGCTTCTCAGTGCCGATCATCTTGCCTCGGTCCTTGAAAGCCAGGGCAAGTATGATGAAGCGAATACTATCCGTCAGGAGGCTAAAAGTCGAACAAGCTACTGAATCTTTGTTGGTGAGAATTCTTTCTGCTGTTCACACACTGGTTAAGTTTGATTTTCTAATCGCTTCGTAAAAGGGGAGTTCTGGGATGCTTCGTCTTTTTATATTAGGATGAACTGGCGTTGAACTTCAGAAGATGCTGGACATGCTTAGATCTCACCACTGGCGAGTGCGCAGCCGATCTTCCAGTAAACAGGGTCAGGGGTAGTAGTAGCCCTGTCGCTCTGGCTAGGGCTAGGAAGTCACTGGGGAATAGCTGTGGGTCTACCCGTCTCACCGCCCTCCATTCTACAGCTCAACGGTATTCCCAGCTCAACGTCATTTTTTTAATTTAACTCAATTAAAACACCATAAAATTGTTATTTCTATATAAATAAAGCTATACAAGGATCCCCCTGTATATCTATAGTAAAGAGATATTCAGATACTCTATTTTTCTGGTTTAATAAAACCGGTGTTGGAGTACTATTAAGTTTCTTACTAAGCTACTTTATAAAGGCACTGTTTTCTTATATTACTTTGTCGTTATAGAATACCAACGAGCCTTAATATCGGCCGTATTTTTAGCCTTAATATAATACCGTATATTCTCTATATATACTAGACCATCTATTTTAACCTGGTATTTAGATCTTGAGATTGAATTAGATAGTATATATCACAAGTTAAAGCTGAAAGTAGTTCTACTACTATATATCTACAGGCTACAGCTCCTTTCTTGACTTTCTTATAATCTATATCAATAATACAGCGTTTTCCTTTTATATAATATTCTGTCTGCTTAATAAATCTATACAGCCAGTTTTTTAAAACGTTTGATAGTTCAGTAGAAGAATCAGTGATTCAGTATAATCCCGTTCTAAAATTATATCCGCGGCCTTTCTAATAGTACTGGCACCTAAAGGAGCACCTAGATTATCAAATCGATTTATATAATCAATTAAAGCACTGTACTGAGCCGGATCAAGGTCTTAATTACTAGATTTCCTAGTACTTTTACTGGCTCGGCCAGCTATTCGATAATAAAGGCGTGAATAGGAAATCCGAAACACCATACTCCAAACGCCAATTTGGTGAATCGTGATATTAACCTGTTTTTCTACGCGATTTTTTTTGTACGCGTGTAGAGCCTTTTGAATAAGCCCTTCCTCAGCTTTATATATAGATTGCATTTTTTTTATGTGGTGTGAATAGCTTCAAAAATAATTGAAATATTGAAATATCAAAAAAATGACGTTGAGCTGTAGCCGACCCCCCACTGAAATGGGGGTCGGCGGTGAGACGGGTAGGTGTTAAGTTATTGTATGTTATTGTCTTTACTGGTATGAAATGTTCTTCGAGACAAGCTTGCAAACATTTTGGATAACAACGCATCGAAAGCAGAATTAGATGCTTATTTGATGGAGAGGCCAGGTTTCTTGTCACACCTTGTCTTAGCCACATGTACTGAAAGTTAGAGCTAGTTTTGAAGGCAAGGACCAAAAGCTTTGAAAACTGCACTTGTATGGATGTATATGTGCATCAATAATAATCTAGATATATACACAAAACCAGATGTCAGGGGTATATGTAGGTGCCTATAAACGATTCCAACCAGCTTAAATCAAAAGCAAAATAGAGTAGGTGGACTCGCTTGAAACAAACATTATATAACAGAAGTCAAGGCCCTTCTCCGGGCGGTATAAAAGTGGACTCCGACCAGGGAGTATCATATGTGGCAGGAAAAAAATAAGCAAACCCGACTATGCATCAAGGACATTCATGTTAGGATCCGGGTCCTCGCCCGCGTTGGCCAAGGCGCTCTGCAGTGCACTAGTCAGGTCGATGTGGAAGAATGGCCGGTTAAGGCCCTGCACCATAGCGACCCTGCGACGACTGCGGTAAGCCTTGCTATCCTTCAGGTCCCGTTGCAATTTGTCATCCTGAGTGCTACTAGCATCGGACGATTCTTCGATACCGTGTGTCTCACGCTCGGTGGTCTCAGAATCGTGCTTGAGGCCATGCTCGAGGTCTTCGCTCTTGATGTTATGCTGGACGTGTTCGTTGTTCACCATCTCTGCATGAGCTGCGGCAGAGGCACTACCTTCGATCTCAGCCACGCTGAAAATTGGTTTCCATCTGTGGAATCCGTCACCCGAGTCTGGAGATGGGAAGCCGAAACCAGCTGCTGCAAGGGCTCGTTTAGTCCAGCGGTTGTTAATATGAGCAAAGTGCCACTGCACAGTCTTGGGGGAAGCGTAGAGGTCGAGTTGGTTGCGGACATCGATGAGGTTTTGGACCGAGGTCACATCAACGTTATTGACGGACGAGAAGTCAAGGATGACGGCCTGCAGTATGGGCAAATGCGACCGGTCTTCTTCAGGCTTGCCCTTGCGAGGGCCTGGGTTGTTCCATGGTCGATCGCCCGGTTTACCGTAAGAGAACGGATTTGTGCGGCGTGTATGCCTGAAGATTGTCTGGACCAAATAATCGGTGTAGTGATTGGCATTGGGGTAGTTGAATCCTTCAGAGAATCGGTAGATGAAGATACCAGGGTAAGGTTGCTGCACCTCGATATCGGGGTTTGACCCGTCCGTGTGGTTGATAGGCAAAAAGATAGACCGGCTTAATCCGTTTTTATCATCGCTGGTGTCACTAGGGGAGTTGGCAGACCCATATTTCCCATCATCCTGTAACAGATGGTCACCAATCACCGAATGGATAGTGACTCTTCCTAAGAATTGACCGCGGGCCTTGGCGACGCGGAACAGCAGAATGGCAACAGACACACAAACGGTACAGTAGATGCCGATCTCAATCGTGGTGAAGACGGTAACGATAACACCGATAAAGAAAATGATCGCATCAAGAGGGGACACGCGCCAGAACTGGTAAACGGTGTTTGGTGGGGTGATGAGGTCACCGACCGCATGAATAATGACACCAGAAAGGGAGGCTTTCGGGATGTAGAAGAAGACAGCGGGCAGAGCGTAGATGGCGAGGAGGACAACAATCGCAGTAATCACACCGGCGAGGGGAGTGCGGACACCAGCTTTCGATTTGATTGCGGTTCGGGAGAACGATCCAGTCGCTGGGTAACCACCAAGGAACGGTCCAAGCAAGTTCGACACACCAATAGCAACCAGCTCCTGAGAGGGATCGATTGTGTAGTTGTTGACACGGCCGAAGGATTTCGAGATCGCGATGTGTTCGATAAGCAGGACAATAATCGCAGCAGGAAGCTCGCTAGCAAAAGTCTTGATGATCCTCGCATTTACCTGAGGGACAGCGGCATGTTGAAAACCACGAGGCACATTACCTAGGAGCTTGAATCGCGGATGATCCCGCCGGTGCAGATTCACAGCGGCACTGATCATCGTATAGAACAAGATCACAAACACTGTCCGCAAAGTCGAAGCGAAGAACCAAACCTTGGCATGACGGGGGAACTTCTTCGCGCCATAGTTACAACCCGACCGGATAATGTACAGCATAGCCAAAGCACTGACACCCATGGCGGCATCGATTTTTGCGGAGGGAAGATACTTGAGGGTGTTGATGATGACCATATAAGTGGCATCTTTCGTCGAAAAGTCGGCCGTCTCTCCAAGCATGTCTTTGACCTGGCCGGAGCAGATATTGATGGCGGAGCCCGTCATGAAAGCTGAAATTGCCGGCAGAGGAATGAAATCTACGATGAATCCCAGTCGAAGCAGGCCCATAGCGCAAACGACGGCTCCAGCAATGACAGCCAAACAGGATGCGATTACATGCGTTTCGACATCTGGGATCTTCTTTTGCGCCTCGGCAACTATCGTACCTGTAAGGGTAGACATGACAGCCACTGGCTGTACAGCGAAGATACTATATCAGCAAGATACATGCTGACATGGACGAAGAATGACTTACACCAATGGTGATATCCTTTGAAGTGGCGAAAAACCAATAGATGAGAACACCCATGAAGGAGGAATAGAGACCAAACTCCACAGGTAGGTTTGCCAGTTTAGCGTAGGCCATTCCCTGTGGAACCACCACGGCACCGACCGTGATGCCTGCATTTCAATGAGTATGCTGTCCAATTATAGACCATATCAAGCAAAAACGAAAGGCTCTTACCGGCAATCATATCTCCCAGAAACCATTGCAAATTGTACCTCGTAATCCACGAGAGGAAAGGGAAAAGGTTGTAGAAATAACGGGCTACATCTTGCCCGGAAGGGGTGATCTCCTTCAACCATTCAGCGGAAGTGGGTTCGGGCTCGAGATAGGAGTATGTGTCAAGTGTTCCAACAGAGAACATCGACTCGCCTCGTGTGACTGGATCAGCATGGGCTCCCAGAGGATCACGATAGGGGACCTTGATCCCCAAGGCCTTGGCCACACCGTGACCAACTTTCGTTTTGAGATCGCCCGACATGGTCCTGATGGGAGAAACGGTCTCAGGAGTTGATGTAGGGTTTGGGGGGCGGGATTGGCCCAAAGTATACCACCACTATATCTCACCCAGTGGTTCTTTGGTGTGGAAGGGAAGTATAAGGTCCAACAGGGATAGGGTGACTTCGGGAAAGTCGGATGGTGGTGGAAGGAAGAAAAGAAGAGAACAGAAGATGCTTGATAAGAGATGCTGATGTAAAGCAGTGCTCAAACAAGGTCCATAACCAGAACCTATGGAGAATTGAGCATCGAGGAAAATGCGGCAGAGTGGATAAATTTAAGGTAGGATGACGGGAGAGCCAAGAGCGATGTCGTGATCAGGAGCAGGGAAGTCGAAATGTTCGCTTGCCCACAACAACACTTTAAAAATCCCACTAGTCCTGCAGTTGCTTAAATCAAATAGAGAGATTAAATTTAATCTAAATCCCAATACGAGGAAAGGAAAAAGAAAAAATGGGAATATCAGAGGCGTGGGAGGGCCAGCAAGCGTTTCGGTGGCGTAGGAAACTGCACGTCCACCGGAAAAAGAAAGATAATCAGGAAGAGGCAACAAAAAAGGCAATACGGGGAGGAAAGTTCAGTTAAGTAAATGAATTCTCGAGTGATCGACTACTTTAGATAAGTCAGGCAACTGATGGGAAGGGGGGAGAAACTGGGAAGAGATGTGCGTGTGGATATCTGCCAAACGGTAAGGAACAATATGGAATCTATCAAAGGAGATGATCAAAACGGGGGGATTGATAAGTACTATCCCCGTTCAAGAAACTCAGCGGAGAAGCGGTTTTAACAAGAACTGTTATGTAGTAAGAAAAATAAAATAAAAATAAAATAAAATTAATCCCAAGGATTTGTACCGAATGAACGAGAGAATAGATTGCCATTGGGAACGAGCATGAGCACCAACGCGCAGTGATGGGGCATATGATCCACTATGGATCGCCAAGGGCAAAAGTCCTCAGCAGACGCAACTCAACGGGGGAGGTGTATCAAGCTTGTCGGAGAGTGCTGGCGTAAGAGCCGTTTAGGTGGACTGGGTGACGAGGGCCTGGAAGCGAGAGATGACGCCGAGCCGTGGAGCATTGGTTCCGCTCATGGTTACCATCCATGGATGATCAGTATCTGAATGGCAAAGCCAATCGGCATCTAATGTCTCATCTCATCTCTAGAAACAGTCTCTCCAGAATATCTGCTCAGATTCTCAGACCATTTTTTGAATTTACCCCAGGCGTAAAGTGTGTAGTATGTGTAAAGTGCCGCAGCGAGCAACAAATGTTATATTGCCAAGAGTGACCGCCCACCTTTAATGATTGAGCTGCAGAGGACGGACGAGGAATATGCAACCAATGGAGAGCTGCCCGCGACATCATCCGCCTCTTACGTCGCTCCACCGCCGGTCTCCAGCCCAATAGGAATCGCGGCAGAACACGCCATCGTTCACTTTGATGGTGAAAGCCCGACCGGTCCACGTGTGGAATGAGTCTGATTCGAGTAAGTATTGGCTTCCATGAAATTTCTTTTTCTTTTCCATACCCTGACCTTTTTCTTGACCCTAACCACACACTTTCTGTATTTTTTTATTCTTATTTTATTTTATTTTTGACTTCTTGCTAGTCTTCCTTGGAGACTTGTCATCAATCTAGTGCGGCAAATACGTAAATTACTGACGACGATGCTTAAACAACTCCCGGGTGTTAACCAAATATTTTCTGTCGCCTCGACTAAAAAGCTCCGTTACATACGTCGTCGTCATGGCGGCCCCCGTAGTGGTATCAGGAGTATGGAGCTTCCCGCTCCTCTACACGGGCAGCCTCGGCCAGTTTCTCCCTACCAGGCCCAGGCATTGCCGATGGGACTTGGCATTCTGGGGACTCTGGGGCTGCTGTGTTCGGTAGTACTGTAGTAGTCGACTACCAACAAGGGTAAAGATGGTCCGTCATCGATGGAGTATATTAGACGGGTATTAATTACTATTGTGAATATGTCCACAATAACATATCCGCTGTGTGACATTAAGGTATAACTGTCCTAACCCACTTGGGATCCCAATATAATTTAGCCTTCCTTTTAGTAGTTAAAATGAGGTAAAAAATACTTTTACCAACGGGCTGACACCAAACTTCAAGCCTCCAATCCCAGTGGAGCCAGGTCACAGAAAGGCAATCGAAAGGGCCGCATTGGCCTTGGGTACATATAGAGCTCATGGATGATAATCCTAGTCTGGACGGTGCTCGCCAATGAATCCTCACCACCTTGCTTGCTCTCCTGCACCTCCTCGAGCTTACTCGGTTCTCCACTCTAACACCATCGAGATCAAAATCGCGTCATCGATCTTATCACCCCCATTGTCCAGTGTCCACTCGTTCTCGACAACCCCCTGGGCCAACCAGTGCAGGTACTAGTTAATATTGTCTGACACGGACATATAATGGAACCATAGCCAAGGGCCCAGGAACCAAAATCCAATCTCAATAAGGGCGTGGGTATACCTGAAGACCAGTCCTTCCCGTTTAAGACATCGGTATAAACGATCAATCGGATTACACTTTCTCTATGGAATCGATGGCGCATGCAGCTACAGACTAGTATCATCCTAATTGAACCTATCCCGCGGAGTTATCGAACGTCTCGTATCGCAATACCATCTTTCAATGATCAAAAATCTCACCATCCGTTTCGCATCTCACGAACGGATCCCTGCCACCCACCACCCTTGCTGCGAAGGCGTGCTTGAGATCTCTCGCATGGTCATACCTTAGATGCAAAGACCCCTGGTAGCAAGCGATGCTTGAGTAAACTCCTAGTCGCCTGACCAGCGCACGTCCCATGCCCCCTTATGGTGAGAATCCATGTATATAGTTCGGCATCTGCACAGACTTCCAGCTTCAGCCTCGCCAGATTAACGTATATGAGGTCATTTCTACCCTAAAATTCGCCTCTCTTTTCTAATTTTGATTTTTCATTTACCCGCCAAAAGGGGCAAAAAAGAAAAAGGACCAAACTAAATCCTCCATTAGCAAACAGAAAAGGCAAATGTCATGTTGCGGAGCATGCGATCTACTAACCTGCATTGTTTACTTAGCCATGACCGAAGGATATGCCCTCGTGCCCGCCCAACTTCGGGGACTCCTATCCAATTGCTGTTTTGGATCTTTATTTCTCCTTACGTGATAGACTCTACTCGGGCACAGTCAGATTTCCATCGAGTATTACCCTCAACAGGAAGACAAGGAGATGTTGTCAGCCGTCCACTTTCGTTCATCCGGACAGATTGAGGTCAACAATGTCGTTGATCACATGGGCCAATCACAGCGGGACTACTTAGAACTCACCTCTCTACTAGTATAGTATTCAGTGTGGCTTTAAATTAATGCCCGCCGCAAGAGCCCCAGTCCACCTGACCTTTACCCCAGAGTCGATCTCAAGCTAATACGGGAAGTATGTGTACAAATGCATTGGATCTTATGCATGAGTGTTCTCCAATCGGTATGCACTCGGCCATACTAGGGTTTACTCCGCATTCTATGTTCATACGTTGAACGGGCGTTCAATTGACACATCCATTTAATACAAAACCACCGAGGAAACTAAAAAATCAACTTCCCTATACTAACCAACATACACATACCTAACCTCAATATTATTCTCCCCTCAAAAACCACCCACAAAGAAACTAATCACAGCAACCCCAACCCACCACTACCTACCAGACAAACCGAACTAAAGAAATCAACAAACCAACCCGATCCAAAAACAAAAAAGAACCCCCCGCCGAACCCCCCAAATCCTTAACAAACTAACCAACGTTCCTGACGTCATCCCACATCTCCACGCCCCAAAACAATGAACCAGATCGAACCAGTGATCATCTTTCTTAGGCATGAACACCGCTCGCTTCGAGAAGAATCCCCACCAGCTTCGATCATGAGACCAGCGATCTTATATCCCAATGCACGAACGAAAAGCGCACATCGAGTTGTTTCTTGATGCTCGGCATAAAGAAGGATGGGGAAGGAAGGGAAAAAAAAAAAAAAAAAAAAAGAAAAAAGAAAAAGGAAAAAAGGCCAAACGCGCAAACCGAAGCCGAATAAATCGCTTATTCAAGGGAAAGCTGAAACGGAACGGGTCGTAAAGGCGCACGGATCGCTAGCGGAACAGAATAGATGATTTTTTGAATAGATCTGTTGACCTTCGGAGATATGACATGCCGGTAGATGGCAATTGCGGTGATATTATGCTGGTTGCTGTAAAGAACTGGACCTTACGTGGCTGCTGTTTAGTTAGGGATGTTGAGACATTTGGTCATGGGGGCTATGAGGTATGGAGGATGCAGGATGCGCTCTTTTCTGCTTGTCCGTGGATTATAGTGAGATGCGCTGCGATTAGAGGGAAGCGTGCACATGCAAAGGAGAGGCTGATTGATACACGTGGTTGCGCACGATGCTTAAGGTCATTGAGTTCTCATTCTCACGCGAGGTGCTGCTTTGAATCTTTGTTATATAAAGGTTGAATGCTTCATGCCCTTGCCAGTGTAGTGACGAAACAGGTGGAGAATCAAGAAATCGCCCAGAATATGGACAGGGTTCTACTGCGCTGAGAAGTACGTTGGGAATCACCATTGCAGCCAGGGGAGCGCAGATATACACTGAGCTACAAACAGTTTGCCTATGGTCATTACAAGGGGAAAAAGCACTTGGCAGATAAAATGGAATATTCAATACCCTAACCCACGCTGTAGTCTATAATGTTGAAACACGCTCAACCCCTAAATCGACCCACCATAACCCACCCCGAGTCAACTAAAGTGATGAGGAAAAAGGGAAGAAGAAATGAAATGTTGACTCGTTTACCATGATCTCGTCCATCTCATCAGGTACCATACCCTCCACTCCCTCATAACAGACAAGCAAGAAATAGAACATTATGCATGGGAATCAAAGCATGATGATGGGAATGTAAAATGAACCGACACGAAATCTCCCGTATCATCTTCCGAATCTTCGAGAAAACGCCATCGCAGAGCAAATCATCAAGCAAACAAAAGAATTAAAGAATCAAGTAGTACCAGGGCTGAGCTCCCGCATGGTATCATAAGCGATTTCAGTAATGCCCTAGCACAGCAACTTTATCAACCACAGAAAAAGCTCCCGCTTTACTGAGAGGCGCACTGCACTCTCTCAGCACCAGGAGGAACGTCGTCGTCATCCTCGTCCATAGAACCGGCAGCACCGTGGGCGCGTGCCTGGGAGTACTCGCTGGAATCAACATCCTCCAGCTCAAAGTCCTCCACCATGGAATCGGCAGGTGGCTGGGGCTGCTCCATGCGGGGGGGCAGAACCTGTTCCAAAAGGTTGAGGTTGCTGAGCTGATCCTTCTCGGGGAACTTGACATCGAACTGGATGTAGAGATTGCCGAAGTCATGATGACGGAATGACGGCATACCCTGACCCTTGATCATCTTGATAGCGCCTGGAAAATCAGTGTGTTAGTGCTCGTTCCTCAACTAAAGTAAAGGAGCGGAATAAATAACATACCAGGAGTAACAACCTCGCCAGGTGCGATGTTCACAGTCAACCAGCGGTCATCGAGGTGCTCAATATTGATGGTACCGCCAGCAAGAGCTGTGAGAAGATCGATTTCAGCGTGATAGAAGAGGTCATCTTCCTTACGCTGGAACCGGGGGTGAGGCTTCTGTTCAATCTCGAAGACCACGTCTCCGGGCAGGACGCCAGGCATCTGGTCACCCTCCCCACGGAACTCGATCTTGTGGCCGTTCTTGACACCCTTGTCGACATGAACGTGGAGGACCTTGCGCTCGACAACGGTCTTCTTACCATTGCAGCGCTTGCAGCGGTCGCGCTCCCGAATGGTCTCACCCTCACCACTGCAGTCTGGGCAAACAGTCTGGAACCGCTGGATCATGGGTCCCATCTGGCGCATCATAGTCTTCATACCGGTACCATTGCAGCCGCCGCACGACTTGACGGCACCTTCCTTACCACCACGGCCATCACAGCCAGGGCAAATGACAGACTTCTGCAGGGCCAACTTCGAAACCTTTCCACGGTAGATATCCTCCAGGTTGACCTTGTGAACGTGATGGATGGTGCGGGCCTTCTTGGGACCCTGTTCCCGCATGCCACCGCCGAACATGCCTCCAAAGCCACCGCCGCCACCGAAGAACTGGGCAAAGAGATCCTCAGCACCCATTCCACCGGCGCCACCACCATTTTCAAGACCCTCTTCACCGAGCTGGTCGTAGAGAGAACGCTTCTGGGAGTCGGAGAGAATTTCGTAGGCACGGGAAAGTTCCTTGAACTTTTCAGCGGCCTCCGGGTTGTTTGCGTTCTTGTCTATGGGAAGCTGTCAGCAGATCCAGTCTATATTCTTCCGCCCCAACTGGCCATTGGAGCTAGACATAGGCAACATACCAGGGTGATATTTGAGGGCACCCTTCTTATAGGCGGTCTTCAGTTGAGCCTCTGTGGCTGTCGGGGCAACCTGATAGCCTCACCGTCAGTTTCAAAAACGGGGGATTCAGCGGCCGCCCATAAGTATACTCACCCCAAGAACATCGTAAAACTTGGTTTCCTTGACCATTGTGAAAGTGTGTCTAGCCGTATACTAAGGAAAAGGTGACTTGTAGAGCAATTACAAGAACCAAAGAATCAAGGCGAAAACTATAGAAACAAGAACTTTTCAGGTGAAATCGTTTCGGAAATGCGAACGGTATGGAAAAGAGAGAATCGTTCAAAGAGAGAAGAAGTTCGCCGGTCGGTTTGGCCGGAACGAAGACTCTATGATGTGGGAAGGGGCCTCGGGAGGGTGGTTGAGAGGCGGGATTGTTGATGGGAAGAAAAAGGATCTGACGGCCACTTCGAGGTTATCAAGACAGGAGCGGCGACAAGCGGCTGACGGGCGTAAGATGGTAATTTCAATACCAGGACCAGGCACCAAAGGGACCTTCACGGGGCAAAGTTCTTGCTGAATAAGATGCCAAGCGTTGTGCAATCTCTGTATTCTGGTACCGGAGATACGATAAGGCGAAAATCCGAGGTTCACTGGCGATCTTTCTCCAATGTACTCTGTATCTATGACTGTTCCCTGGGGTATCAAAAAAAAAAAAAAAAAAAAAGAGCTCAGAGAGGGGAAGTTCTAGGGGCAAGCCGGTGGAAAATCAATCAAATAAAAACTAAATGGAACTGTAAAAGAGGTTCTGCCTGGCTTTTCAAGCACAAAACAATACGGGCCTCATGTCCATGACTTGCAGCCCGATTGGCTTTGCTTTCCCCTTCTGGCTGCTTCGACCGCCCTGTCACAGGCTGAATCCACGGCTCGAGCGCTGACTCTCTCTTTCCATCTGATTCTGTCGGCTTCCATCATCTTCGCTGCCTTTCCACTGAGTCGGTAATTCGTTTGTTTTGTGACCACCGTTACCCTGCACCCAATGAGTTTTACCCTGTATCATCTTTCAGATACCGATTCCTTACAGCGGAGGATTCACAATGTCAACAGTCGTCCCTTTTCCATCTGCTTCCATAGAGCGCTTATGTATTACGAAAAGGTTAGTTATTATCATTATTATTAGTGTTTGAGAAACCATTCATGAATGGCATGGCATGTGTAGATTTTGATGAATTACAAGTGATCAAAAATACTTTTAGATTTAGTGAAACAAGTATCTAGCAAGGGGCAACACTCGGTTCTGAATCCTGCGAATCAAGGAGTACTTCTATGGATGAAGATCTGGTTTCCTGAATTTTTGATTAATTTTCTTTTTTTTTTTTTTTTTTTTTTTGCTATTGTGGCACAGCCGACTTTGCCCCAGGCCAACAATGTGGCAGCGGGACGCCTAGTTAAGTTTCTTCTTATCGATAAGGAAAAGTATCCAGAAGTGGAAAGAGGGGGTGTTAGTGGGTGAGGGGGGTTGAAGGCATCCATGAATATAGCGATAGGTATAATTTAAGGAAGGAAAAGGATAGCTAAGACACTTCATAGGTCATGATATCTTTAATTGTTAATTATATAATTCTACATATAATGTGTTATCGTGTGCATTTCAATGTGTATGCCGAGGCGCCCCGCATCATCAAATATATAATCAATACCGAACAACTGCGCAACTAGATCATTAAAAAACCGATGCAACTTGACCCGTTGATTGGAAGTATTGGACAGAATTTCATCATATCCTGAGTTTATTGCAGGAGGTAAAATCATCAGCCATCACAGACATTCTATACAATGGCAATTTTAAACTCTCGAGTGATGGACTACAGACTCTTCATGAGGGGGAACATCCGAATGCTTATCACCTCTATCAAGATCCTCCGCCAACAGCAAGCCGTGGCCAACCGTTCCTGCGGGTCAAGCTAGAACCAGAACGGCGATTGACCACCAGAATTTTGCCTGAACAAATCGAGTTACATAACTATCGGTAGCTCAACAGAAACCATAACAGCTATTTCTCTGCGTCCCACTTGTCTTCAGTTCTAATTACCCTTCCCTTCCATATCCCATAATCCATATCAGATCACATCCAATAGAATGGAGTCAGACCCTGGATTTATTGCTGCCCTCGAGGAGGCAAAGCAAGGTTACGCCGAAGGTGGAGTTCCTATCGGCGCGGCGTTGGTCTCCAAAGATGGCAAAATCCTTGGCCGTGGACATAATATGCGCGTTCAGAAGGGGAGTGCGACATTACATGTTAGTCAATGATACGCCAATTCTATAACCCCTAGGTGATTGTAAGGATGCCCGTGGCTTACTTTAGCATACTACTAGGCCGAGATGTCTGCCCTGGAGAACTCAGGCCGCCTTCCCGCTTCCGCTTATGAAGGTGCCACCATGTATACGACCTTGTCTCCCTGCGATATGTGCACGGGTGCCTGCATCCTCTATAAGGTGAAGCGCGTAGTCATTGGAGAGAACAAGAGCTTTATGGGCGGGGAGGAATATCTTAAGAACCGTGGCAAGGAACTGGTTGTCTTGGACAACGAGGAGTGCAAGCAGTTGATGGAGAAATTTATGAAGGAGAAGCCGGAGCTCTGGTAAGTTCTTTTATTTTGAACACTGCTTTTGGATCATGACAAGTCGTCGATAACAATATATGGTTTAATCGCCCACCCCATCTCCCCATCTCCAAATGATAGTAGCTGACTATGGACGTGTCAAAAATGTAGGAATGAGGATATTGCCGTCTAAGCCCTGAATATATCATAGGCTAATCAGCTATTCGCCGATGAGTTGCAGGGTATGAGGAATCACAATGTAAATAGTCAGAGCCTCAGTCCTACAGGAATCATTGCCATGACCAAGTGTTATGTTTCATTTATGCCGTTAGTCTGTGAATCTCCTCAAAAAAGAATTTGAGATCATCAGGCTTGACAAATGGAGTAACACCTGCGCAAATTAGCAAGTTTCATCAACTTAGATATTATGGGACATCATTACCATGGCCCAAGTTCGCAATCCATCCCTGCTTGCCCTTCTCGAAACCTTTAACCATGGTCTCGACTGTTTCTGTGATGGCGGCACGGCCACCGTAGAGCATACCGGGATCAGCATTACCCTGGATGGTGACTCGACCATTCGCAATTCGCCTAGCTTCCGCCGGATCATGTAGCCAGTCAAGCCCAACAACGTTATAGCCGGATTCGCAAAGGTCATCAAGTGCATACCATGCGCCCTTGGCGAAAACAGTCATGGGTACCGGTTCCAGTCCCATTTCCTTTAGCCGCTTGGGTAGATTGGCTGAAATATGGCGCAGATACGGGAGCGAGAATGACTTGAACGAGGCCGGAGAAAGTTCACCGGCCCATGAGTCAAAGACCTGAACCAACTGGGCGCCTGCGGCAACCTGGAGAGCAAGGTATTCCACACAGATCTCTGCGATCTTCTGCAGCAATGCCTGGGATTCCTTCGGGTACTTGTAGACCCACGTTTTCGATTGAACAAACATCTTGCTTCCACCGCCTTCAACCATGTAGCACAGGAGGGTCCATGGGGCACCGCAAAAACCAATAAGCGGGACACGGCCCTGCAACTTGTGCCGGGTGAGCCGGATGGCCTTGTAAACATAGTCAAGTTCCTCCTTAACATCGACCTGCTTTTGCATCACTTTCTCGTACTGTCCGTCGTCCGGCGACTTCAGCGGTTCGGGGAAGTGGGGACCCTTCTTGTCAACCATCTCAACCTGCATTCCCATAGCCTGGGGAATGACTAGAATATCGGAGAAGATGATAGCGGCATCGATAAGCCCTGCATACCGTTCCACGGGCTGAATAGTCAGCGTGGAGGCGATTTCCGGGCTGCGGCAGCATTCAAAAAAGTCGCGACCTCCTTTAGCTTCGTGGTATTCGGGGAGATAGCGTCCGGCTATAAGTAGAGGAAGCACAAAAGTTAGCAATGGCTGGCCTTTCAGCCTGTATGAGACTATATTGGGGAAAAGCTAGCAAAGCGTATATATATACCTTGACGCATAACCCATATCGGAGGACGCTCGACTTTCTCGCCTACAATTACATCAGCGGCGGCAATTTATGCTGTTGTAATCTATGATGAAAATACCTCTTGCAGCCCTTAGCAAAAGGTCATTCTTCAATGGAGCGAATTGTTCCTGCATCTTGATGGAGAATAGGAGGGGTTGTGTGAAGAAGGGACCTTGGGAAGAGGGGTGACTGCATGCAATTCTAGCACCCAAGGTCCTAACCGCCGCTCGGCGCCTCGGCCCGCCGCTGCAGTACATTTATGCATCCCAACCCAATTCGGAAACTTTCCATCTGCTACCTGAGGCTACATACCAGAGTAAATACTGGTAGCATGGACATAATCCCTAACTGTCCCATACAAAGGCATACAAATCTAAACAAAGCTTGAAACATGTCTTAATTCAACTGGTTAATTAATTAATGAGTAGTTGGAATTTACAGCGACCGATTGTCTTTCAGTCATCCTCTCCATGCTTCTTACGCAGATTGCCCAAATTATACAACGAATCGTCGAGTTCCTTTCTTTGCTTTGTGTTGGCATCTGCTAAAATTCCAGAGGAGCCACCCATATTGACGTTGGTAACCAGCGATTCTGTGACTGGCTCCCACTCCAAGTTTTCTGTTCCTGGCTTCACGCGGAACGATTCAATCAGATTCGAGGGGCTTGTTGGGCTGGCTCTCCATTCGTGGGTCGAGCCCTTTTCGTGGATACAGTCCACAGAAACAACAACTGTGCTGTCCTTTTCCATGATAGCCACGTCCAAGACGTTGCCAGACATCTCGATTGGGTCCTGTGTTTTTAATGTGCCATCCAACCCAAGCACGAAGCATTGCAGCTGTGAGGACCTATTCAAGACATCAGACAAGCAGGATATTGACTTAGACTTTCATTCTCACTTACCCATCAAGCGCAACAAGAACAATATTTGACCCACCGATTGATGTCGACCAAATTCCACGAACTGTAACCTGTGTAGTCTCTGATTCCGGCTCCACTAGGGGAGCCTTCTGGAGGATACGGCCTTCGGTCCACTTCCAGACTAGCAAATAATCGTCGCCTCCGCCGGAGATAAGATATTCTGGAGCGGCTTGGGGGATGCAGAGCTTGGTGACGAATGCAGTATGGCCCAGACAATAACCGTCAATAATATGAGCCTGTGGATAGCGAGAGACTCGAATGTGCTCATCGCGGTCTCCGGTTAGGATGTAACTGCGCTTTTGACCGGAATTATCATCCTGAGGTACCGTGACAAAAGCCACATCCGTGAGCAATGACACATGACCAAGTAGCAATTGATGCTGGAAATTCAGGCTGGTCTTTTCTTCGGTGGGATTTTTTTGACCATAGCGCAACTGCTGCTCCAAAGATTCAAGATTCCGCTTACTATGCACAGTAAGGGGTGTTGCTGCGGGCACCTTTGGCCGATTAGAAAGCTTTGGCGCCACATATGGCTCGTTGCTGGTAAGAAGTGGCAGCGAGTAAACATCGCCGAATTTATCACCACAGAGGATTGTGTAACCGTCATCAGTAAGAGCGATACTACATGGCCTCTTTGGCATACATCTGTAGGTAGGGTGAGCACACACTTTTCGTCCATTCAGCAGGGCCAACTAACCTTTCGCTTAGTTGTTCAAAAGTGCCATCAGCTTCCAAGCGGAGGACACGAATGCACTTATCTTCGGCTGTGAGCGCAATCACATAGTCTCCATTCGAATGCGCAACTAAAATAGGGATGCTGGACCAAGCCGGAGCCTTGACGGGTGATTTGGAAGTTCCAGTAGGTCCCTCCTCGGACGGGTAAACCTTTCTCTTCTTCTCTGGTGGTGCTTGGTCTTCAGATCCAGTTTCTGTCTCAGTTGTCTTGGAGTTATCTGGATTGCTTGCGTTTACATATTCCGGCCAAGAAGAGAGACGCTGCCCGGTCTCTGCAACGTAGGAGTAGATCTTGCCCCCAGATGACGCAATAAGTAGCCTCTGAGGTTCCGCACCCTGTTTCTCCAGATATTGGATGCATTGGAATGGAAGTTGGAAGTTGCCAGCCATGTTGTATATAATTGGTCGTATAATGCTAGAAAAGCGAGGACTGACTCAGCCCCGAATATTGTGGTGTCAGAAAATACAGTAGCGAGCTGTAGTGCTGCGACCAGTAAAGTACATAAGCTACCTTGCGTAAAACAGTAATTAATTGGAGGATGAAATGAATACCATAGACCTCCAGGAGTATACCACCAAATGCACGCGCGCATGCCCTATCTGATCTCTTGCGGACATTTTTTTCTGCCGGGCGGAGCAGCACGTGACCATCTCGCTAGCCGAAGCCACAGAGAAACAAAATTTCCCAATTTCGAAGTTCCTTTGCTTCTTTTGATCTTCAACGTCACGATTCAATCGGACAGCAACACACCTTTAGAAAGTTATCCCTTGCCCTTAAACATCCTATCTTCACCGAAATAAGGAGACATGGGGGGCAAGTCTGCTACCAAGGCCGCTTACTTCGACAAGCTGAAGAGCCTTCTCGATGAGTACAAGACGGTCTTCATTGTCGGTGTCGACAATGTCAGCTCTCAGCAGATGCACGAGATTCGTCTGAGTCTCCGTGGTGAGGGTGTTGTCCTGATGGGTAAGAACACCATGGTATGTATCTCCATATTCCCACTCAATTGACACAGCAATTGACCGCATTATTTCAGGTTCGCCGTGCCATCAAGGGCTTCGTCACCGACAACCCGGAGTACGAGCGTCTCCTTCCTCATGTCAAGGGTTAGTACAGTTGATTAACTAAAGCGATATTTTAAATGTACGTGGACTAGCCACTGACGCGTCACAGGCAACGTTGGTTTCATCTTCACCAACGGCGACCTTAAGGCCACCAAGGAGAAGATCCTTGCCAACCGTGTCGCTGCTCCTGCTCGTGCTGGTGCCGTCGCTCCTGCCGATGTCTACGTTCCTGCTGGTAACACCGGTATGGAACCCGGTAAGACCTCGTTCTTCCAGGCTCTCGGTGTCCCCACCAAGATTGCTCGTGGTACCATCGAAATTACCACCGATCTTAAGCTCGTTGAGTCCGGCGCCAAGGTCGGTCCCTCTGAGGCTACCCTGCTGAACATGCTCAATATCTCTCCCTTCACCTACGGTATGACCATCTCTCAGGTCTACCAGGACGGTCAGACCTTCGGTGCCGATGTTCTCGACATCGAGGAGGAGCAGCTGCTCAAGGCGTTCAGCAGCGCCATCCAGACTGTCACTGCCCTCTCTCTGGCCACCGGCTTCCCCACCCTTCCTGCTGTCATGCACTCCCTTGTCAACAGCTACAAGAAGGTTCTCGCCGTTGCTGTCTCTACCGAGTACAGCTGGCCCGAGATCGAGGAGCTCAAGGACCGTATCGCCAACCCTGACGCCTACGCCTCCGCTGCTCCTGCTGCCGGTGCCGCTGCTGCCGCTGGTGGTGCCGCTCCCGCCGAGGAGAAGAAGGAGGAAGAGGAGGAGGAGTCCGATGAAGACATGGGCCTCGGTCTTTTCGACTAAACTTCTCGTCTCATTGCGCGAGATGCGACCACCATGTTTTAGATACATTTACGGCCAATCGTGACGGTTGGAAAAATGAAACGAATTTCATGGTCGATTTTTCTTGTTCAACTAGATGTGGACGTAGACGTACGGTCCACTATCTTCTTGAATCTTAAGGTGAGCATTTACTTTCTTTTACTCTTCACTACCATTACCCTGGACATCACTCCTTGGCGGATGATGATATTTTTTAACTCGTAGTCACTGTTGTGGCGTTGAAGATCAAAAACTAGCAACAACAAACACTCTAATTTTTTGCTGACCCGCCTCCCTTTTATCTTATTTATCTTACACACCTTACAGCAACATGGCTTGCTAACTGTGATAACAGATCATTCATGCGCATGTGGTGTAGTAGTATGTCTCGATTTGGATTCGTAGTACCACGCTGTTTCTGCACGAGGGTTCAGTCTATGGATTTGGATTGTTTACTGTCTCAGATGAAATATACTGCTAGGTAAGACTCGTGCAAGGGTTATGGATTCTTATTCAGACACTTATATAATATCATTCATGGAATGAAACAATTGATCTAACCTTGCGTATCATACAATGCACCCGTCTGTCCGTTGTAATTGTAAATATGACCGCGAAATATATTTCTGTGGTATTAAAGAAAAATAAAGTGGTATACTCGGCAAGCAGGAAGACGCCCAAACTATCTGACATGAAGAAGTGAATACGCGAAATTTGCCGTGCTTCAGTTACCGTCATCACCACTCCTCCCAAACCGACCACCGAATCCACCCAGGTCCCGACGGAAGAACTTGCCAATATTTTTCAGGTTCTCGTTCAAGTTGCCTGCAGTAGCGTTCTCAGCGGTGCTCTGCAGTTGTGCGAATGGTCCAGGTGAAACGGGGGTGGTGGATGTCGATCCTGGGGCTCCACCGGCGCCGGGATTTCCAGTTGAGGACATAGGATTTCCGAATCGGTCGACACCATCTTTGGCGGCTGAGATAATGGCAGACCCCAACATGGATGGGTCGAAGCGAGTGGGAAGGTTGGAAGCGCCGATTGAGGCTGCAGCGGTTCCGAGTCCTAGCCCTTGGTTTGAAGAGGAAGCGGGGGTGGTTTGAAAGCCTGTGAGGATGGGATTGCTTTGCTGAAGGTTCGGTGCGTGACGGTCTGAAGCACGGTGGATTTGGAAGAGTTCCACGAGCTGGTTTTGCTCTTGTCGACTGCGAATTCCTTTGAGTTCGAGGATCTTGCGGAAATTCGTGTTGCTGCTGTCCTTTATGTGGATCAAGTATGCTTGCACTAGTGCCTCTGGAGGCGATGGCTGGACTTGGAGGGTCTTGAGGAGAGTTTCGATCTTCATGAAGCTGTTGTTGACACGCTTAACGAAGCTTGCTGGAGCGGGAGCTGGTAGAAGAGATGAGAGGCCGGTTTTGAGTGTATATCCGTCCAGGAGCATCTATTCAGAGTTAAATGTCAATATGTTGCACTGTGTTTTTTGCATGCAAATCGAAGGGTGGTAACTTACTTGCTCCGCTCCGGTCTCCGAGACTGGCTTACATTGAAAGATGTTCGAAACAAATACGTTTGATATTAGCTCTACGACGTGATCTGCGAAAGCTCGAGCGTACTGTTGTTTATGCAGCAACTGCAGGATCTCGGAGGATTTGGCGTTCAGCTTGGTCATGAGTTCGCTGACGTACGTGCTCTGATCGCTAACACTCTCAAGCCGGTTCCAAGGTGTATTGCGCATTTCTCGCCACGAGGGCTCTAACTCGACCTCGACCATCCGCACAAGACACCGAACAGCAGCAGACGCAATGCCCATAAATGAATCCGCCTGGCTTTGCAAGTCTACCGACTGTTTCAGGTTTTTGTCGAGCCTGCCTTTGATCTTTTCCTCAAGTTGATTGCAGGTGGTGTAGCAGTAATCTGCAGTGTTGAGAACCGATATGAGGTCCTCCAGAGATGGCACCTTGGATGGAGTAGTGCCGGTGGGTCTCTCGCTGATATAGTATAAGAGGACTTGTTGGGCATACTGATCGAGATACTTTGCGAAGACTTTGGCCAAGTCGGCAAGGCTCCCGCCCGTCGAGAGTTTCGCACATTGTTGTAGAGAGAGCCTGTAGAATGTAAAGAGCTCCGTAGAGGACGCTATAACAATATTAGAATCGAACTCCTCATCTGGTGGCCTGATAGGTTGCTGCCGATATTTCGGTATTAGGGTAGCCAACTGCTTATCTTGTGCTTCAACCCATACGCTTAGATAAGGCTCAAAGGCCTCTGATATGGCCTGGCCAAAGACCGGTGCTTCAGCCGAGGTAAACGTGTCGGTGGACGGGCGGGATGGATTGACAAACCGCCGCTCCAAAGTATGCTCAAAATCAAGAGTCTCCTGCAGGCACGAAAGTAATAGGTTGACGTCGATCGTCTGCCCATTTCGCACTGACCGGGAAAGAATGCCCTTGAAATCTTCTCGAGTTCCTTCACAAAATATGTTTGCCAATATCTCATCAACCCTCCAAGACGTCGGCCATATTGCAGCGTATTCCTCATCGTATATCTTCAGTATACGACGGAACCATGAATACCTCCGCGAGATGTTATCTAAGGATCCCGCCTCCTCGTTGTTCCTGAAAACCTGTCGATACTCCCGTAGCTGGAAATTGCAATACCAGGTCACCAGCCTGGACTTGGCATGCTCCCCCAAGGCGTCCATTATGAGACAGCCCTCCGAAAGCACGACCCTCCTTTGTCCCACTTCACCCTTAGCAAACGCCAACTCGAAGTCTTCACAGACCTGTTCCAACAGCTCTCGTTGTATATCTGCTACGTTTCTGCTGAGAAGAGCGATCTGATCAATGGATCGGTACGACTTAAAGTGTGCCATCAGCTGAATAACCGCCTGCAGTAATTGGGCACAGTCCCGGTACTGCCGTGTCTTACCGAGGACACGGAGCTGATCGTATGCCGTCGTCAGCATCTGTAGCCTCTTCAGGGCTGTCATGGATTGCGTGAGGTTCTTCTTTGCATTGTCCAGCTGCTTGATGTCCGCCGTCATCTCGGTGATGGCCAGCTCCGTCTTGGACGCGCGGTCGCGCACATCGTCAATCTTCTTGAATAATTCCGTCAAATCTGCCTGGGCAGCCTGTATGCGCTCGACACTTTCCGCATTCGATGTGACTTGTTCCTCCACCAGCGCGCTGATCTCGTCGTCCAGCTCATCTTCGTAGTCTAGGAGGGACTGAGAAACGTGGGAGACGGAGGACAGCGTGGAGGGATGGGAGAAGATAGCATTTAGATGGTCAATTGGATCGTAGTCCGCTATTGCATAATTCAATAAATTTTCGTATTAGCGGGAAATCAATCGGCACGGGTTCGTCTGAGAAATTAATCTCACCTGTGTCGAGGGGATCGAGATCCGCCGCTCCGTTGGAGGGCATGTGGCCGGAGGAGGGAGAGGTGGTGGTAGACATTCCATTAGCTCTTCAGCTTACACCCAAGGTACATGCTGTGTTTAGGATTTCCCGACCGTCTACCAGTTCACGTTGGGTAAGAGGGAGAGATTAGGGGACTAGAATAATTATTACAGCAAAGAAGAGCTGAGGACAAAACTGGTCTTGCGGAAAGTTGGCGATCAAGCCCGGGAAGTTGTAAACGCCGAAAGTCAACTTTTAGCGCAACGCGGCTAATTGATGGGAGTAAGTATAAATAAGATTGGCCTCGAGAGATTAGCTCCGCTGCCCCTCCATGTCATATAAATCTTGTACTCTCCTTTTTACCTTTTCTTTCTTTCTTTCTTCTTCTTCTTCATCTTCCTCCTCCTCCTTCTTTTCTTTTTCTTTTCTACAGATAGTTGTGAAAGTTGTGTGCTTGTTTTCTGGCCCGTTAAGAAGCAGACCCAGCAAGTGATATTGGTCTCGTGGGGGTTATCAAATGGAAACCCTCTCCCCTTTCTATCTATATGGACATGATCTTCGTCGTCTCTCGAGGTTCAGTAAATGTGATACAGTGAAATCTTTTAAACAAGTCAAAGAACCCACAACCATTCGCCTAAGCCATGCAAGCACAAATAAATGCAGTATAAAAATAACAGTTGAACAAGACTCCAAGCAAACACCACAGCTTCCTCCACTCAAAAAGTTTTTGGGTATGTAAAAATCAGATAAGAACTAGACAGCTCCAGGCAGGAAAGCGTCTGGAGGCAGCTGTCCCTGAGCCTTTACACGGAATCAGTAAAGCTCCATTAAAAAACTGACCAAGTGCGGGCAGGGCTTACCTTGAGCTCCTGAAAATTCTTCAGGGCAGCGTCCAAATTCCAACCGTTGCCCGAAAGCGCCATTTCAGAGTATGGCAGAGTCATGCCCGTTTTGGCACTTATTTGCATGACCAATTGCTCTTGTTGGACCTGGGCATCTGGTTTGCCTGGCGCGGGCATACCGTAACCATCGGAAGTAGCCGAAGGAGCAGCCGGTGGTTGGATGGGAGGTTGTCCGGGTTGAATTGCTTGGACAATCGGCTGCTCCAACATCCATGCTTCATGGCCCCCATGAGCCCGTAGACAAAGGATATCGTTGATCACCCTAATACCGCCCATGCCTCCGCCAGGTCCCAGGATGAATGTCCGATCGAAACTCCGAAGGTCAACCTTCGGTCCATTGATCTCTTCAAATTTTCCATGCACCATGATAAGAAGTCCACCCACCCCAGTCGGGCTCTGCCCGGAAGGATCAGGAAGCCCAGGGATGGGGAAACATTCAATAAGCCATTCTTCAGGGTGAGTTCCTATGTCGGGATGTCGTGTTTGAGGAAGGCTGCTCCACATCTCACGAATCTTGTCCGCACCGACAAAGGAACGAGACATCCTCGCAGGAAGATGATTGATCTTGAGTAGATTCCTACTCTTCTTGATGTAAGGATCCCAGGCCGCAGTCTCGGTCTGCTGGGCTCTCGGAGCAGTGGTGTTGACATTCAGCGAGAATGTGGAATTGTTGTCGTATACACCGTTCAGAAGGTCAGTACGATTGTTATCATAACCAACAAAGAAGGCCTTGACAAAGTTCTCTCCGATTTGAGATTCATCCTGGAAATGTGGCGCCTGAACAGGGATTGGTGTCTTCTTCTGCGCAGCCACTTCCTCCGCCGTCCGAACTTCTGTATTATTCAAATATCGAAGTTTAGGATACCACTTGAGCATGGTGTCCTTGAAAGTAGGATCCGCGCTGAAAGGGGTACCGGTGAGGTCGAGAAATTCCAGATTTCGGAACTTCCATCTCCATCCAATTAAGGATTGAGAGTCTTTGAAATTATTATTCGATAAGTCAAGATTTTTCAAGTCGGGGAATGATTGAGCCAATGTCGTGACGACCGTGATATTTGCGAGCTGATTGTCGGCAAGGCTGACACTCTCCACAGCCTCGCGTCGCGCTGTGGAGTTATCAAAATTCATCTCCCACACCTTCATCAACGCTGGGAAGAACTTGGATTCAGTAGATGTGCTATCGAAGATTCCCATTGCCAACAGGTCCGGGTCGCTGCCAAGCTTAGAGAGGTTAAGCAATTTCTGCTGTTGAAAATAGCGTTTGCTCAAGATCGCGGTCATCTTCGATTTGGTATCGGCGGTCGAGGGGGCACCACTGTTCCGCGACACTTCGGATAGCATCGTTTGGTCCATTCCATTGGCGGACGGATCATATGTCTGGATCGTAAGAGGTGCTCCTGCAAAACTGAAACCATTCATTTTCAGCATCCTGTCCAACAACTCCGGCCGGATAGATACTATGAAAGCATCGCCTTCAACCCGCGACTAGTGAACGTTAGTAAGGCGTAAGAGACCTTTTTACCGCCGTCATCCAGAGGCACAAACGCCAAAAACAGCCTGCGACGGTCGTTCTGGGGTACCACTCCTGAAAACGAGAACACACCGGAGAGGACGACGTTGCGAAATCATGTCGGTGACCGTCAAATCTGATGTTGAACATACCTTTGTAATCCTTGCGCGGGAGCCAGCTTTCGAGTCGGATGAGTTGAGTTTCTTTTCGAGGAAGGTGATTAGACTTTCAACGCCACCGTCGCGGTTGGACGCTGCTTTGCTCTGTTTCCATCCTCGAACGCTAACTTGTTCCAGATTATTGCCTCGGCCACCTTGTCGGACATTTGCCTGAGAACTTGTGTTGCTTGAAATAGCCTTTTGGATAGCGTCGAGTGCCCTATCGCGTGTGTGGGCCCGTGGTCCAGTAGTCACCGAGCGACTGGAATCCCCGCGCGCCCTCTTTACACGGCCTTGAGTAGAGCCTGCGTCCATAGCCAGATCACCATCTCGATCGATCCGCTTTGCTGCACCTTTCTTGCGAATACCCCCGCGATCCGAGCCGCCTGAGCGGCCTCGGGAGCCTTTCCCTCCTTTCATGTTGATCGCAGTGGCAAATATATTCGAATGGGAGGAGGATGGTAGGTATCGAGGGTAAAGTAGTGGTTGGTATCGGTTTTTTTTTTGTTCTCAGGCGGACTTAGCGCTGCGCGCCTGAAATTCAAGTCGATCTAGTCGGCATGCAATAGAGAAAATAGTTAGAGATAGGAGGGAAGATAGAGTAGATATTGTATATAGTTGTATTCAATATATTGGAAGAAGTAGGATCAAGCAAAACCTCGCGGGCGAGGTCTTGAGGGTGACAGTATGAGGCAGAAGAAAGTCAAGCGGAAAAAGTGACGTGAATCAAAGAGTCATATCACGTGATAACAGACAGGACGATGCCTGCATATCCACGTGATAATCTACTACCAAACACCCATGGAGTGGAGGCTCCAGTGGCCAATCAGGGACTGCAGTTTGTCCTTTGGCACACAATCGGTAATACACGATACCGATGCCGCCAACTGGGTGGAGTAAATTACGCTACCCGTGACGATTGTTGTTCCATTAAGTGTTTAGTTTCGTATTTCATGCATGCAATCTATCATTAGGACAGCTTTGCCAAAAGTCAGGAACCGCAAGGGAAGTCCGAGACCACTCTGCTTGTCACTGGCGGTCTCCTCGATTTCAGAATTTAATCAATTGGTAAGTCAGTCCCTATTTCTCTTAGTTGGTCAGTCATTCTTTTTGTTTGTAATAGACAAAGCACTCGATCGGGCTCGGGCCGCCTTGACAACTTACGTACGGTTCTAATCGGTCCTATATAGGTTGTTCCCCAAAGCGCTTACCTCTCCTTCAATTGATTTGAAGGATTTCTCTTACATTCCTTACGGCTATCGTGGCCTTCCCGCATGGTCGCTGAGCGATCGAGGAGATGCCTGCCAAATCGCGATTCACGAGGCTTGATGCTTTCGCCAAGACGGTTGAGGATGCTCGCATCCGTACCACCTCCGGCGGAATTATCACTATAGCCTCACTGCTGGCTATTTTATGGCTTGTGTGGGGAGAATGGGTGGATTACAGGCGGGTGGTGGTACTCCCTGAGCTGGTAGTCGATAAGTCGAGAGGTAAGAAAGAGCTAAGCAAACTGTGGTGGTTGAAATGGAAGCTGACCGAATACTGCGCACTTCGCTATATAGGAGAAAAAATGGAGATCCATTTGAACATGACCTTCCCACGGCTCCCGTGCGAGCTTCTTACCCTCGATGTGATGGATGTCTCTGGTGAGCAACAGACCGGCGTAGTGCATGGTATCAATAAGGTGCGCCTGAGTTCTCCTGCAGAGGGCGGCCACGTCATTGATGTCAAAGCTCTGGAACTGTGAGTCAATCTTCTTTATCCCATCACATTGGACGAGCAGTTCGGCTTATAAATATCCTTTGCAGTCACTCGGAGCAAGAAGCGGCGAAACATCTGGACCCTAACTACTGCGGCGACTGCGGTGGAGTCCCGCAGCCTAACGGTGAGAAGCGATGCTGTAACACCTGTGAAGAGGTGCGAGAGGCCTATGCACAACAACAATGGGCATTCGGAAAGGGTGAAAACATTGAACAATGTGAACGCGAGGGCTATGCGCAACGTCTGGATGCCCAACGCCGTGAGGGTTGCCGTCTTGAAGGTGTCCTCCGCGTGAACAAGGTGGTCGGAAACTTCCACATCGCACCGGGCCGGAGTTTCACGAGTGGAAATGTCCATGTGCATGATCTTGAGAACTACTTCGAGGGCGACCTTGCCGACGCCGAGAAACACACTATGACCCATATCATCCACCAGCTTCGGTTTGGTCCCCAGCTGCCAGATGAGCTGTCGGATCGCTGGCAGTGGACCGACCATCACCACACCAACCCGCTCGACAGCACCCAGCAGGAAACTAGCGATCCCGCATATAATTTTATGTATTTCGTCAAGGTCGTTTCGACTTCCTATTTGCCGCTGGGCTGGGATCCATTGTTTTCCTCGGCCGTCCACAGCGCCTACGAGGATTCTCCGCTGGGTACCCATGGTATTGCATATGGCTCTCAGAGCAGCATCGAAACACACCAGTACTCGGTGACCTCCCACAAGCGATCTCTGAGGGGCGGCGACGCTTCCGACGAAGGCCACAAGGAGCGTCTGCATGCTGCAAATGGCATCCCTGGTGTTTTCTTCAACTACGATATCTCCCCCATGAAGGTCATTAACAAGGAGGCACGGCCCAAGACTTTTACTGGGTTCCTAACCGGTGTCTGTGCAATCATCGGCGGTACTCTTACTGTCGCAGCTGCCCTAGACCGTGGTCTATACGAGGGTGCTCTGAGGGTTAAGAAGCTCCATTCAAGTTAAGTGCGAGAGTCCACAGCAAGGCTGGACCTTCTCGAACTGCGAAGGAAATAAAAAGAAAAAAAAAAGGATTTGATACATACCTCTATAGAAGCTATAAGAGCATTGACGCTTGGAGCAGAGAGCGCGAGAACAGGGGGTGGTTTTGAGGGGGAAATTTTGACAGTCAAGGCGTTTGGGTACATGTGCATATTGTGATATACTTAGCAGCAAGTGTTTGGTGTTTGGCATCTTTGTATCTGAAGCCTTTCGGTGCTCCCCTTTTATGAACGTTGTGATTTCCGGAACACTAGATGGCATGTTCTATAGTTACACCAAGGTATCTCTAAGCTGAGCAAGCCCAACTAGGCCATTTTCTTCCATATCTACTCCCCGACTAGTGCATGCGATAAGTCTATGCTCAGTCAGAATCGGAGAATCTCTCCACAAGCTTCACTCTCCGTTTCACTTCCCCTCAACGTTCTCTCTGGGGAGTGGCTTCCCAGAGAATCGGGAAGTTTTGGATGCAGTAGCCTGATGACAGGGGGAATTAGACGAATTCGGATACTTTGGGGAACGACTTTTCGGTTTAAAGAGTTGATGGTTCGAGTTTTGGAAGGTATTCATTTTGATTTATGTTCTGTGATGGCGCATTGCTTGATAAGGCGTGTGGTGAAGTTGGAGGAAGATGGGTGGCTTAGTTATAGGGCTTTTGTTGGGCTACTCTCATGGTATTATTCAGATTGGGGAAGATAGGACAGAAATCTAAGAGAAATAGTCCTTATTTGTAGGATGTGGCTTGTTTGTATCTCTCTTGGGTTAGAGAGGCGAACTTTTCTTAAGGATTCCTCGGACCGACTAATCTAAGGCGCACACGCGCTCATTATAACTACACGAATAAGGCAATGGAATTAGACAAGAAGCAACATTGTGCCTCACTATGAATCAAAAAGGACTACGGAGGATATATTCAGCAGAGATCCATCGTCTATCTGCATTGTTCTCGCTCAGCAAATGCTATACGCCCATATTTACATGCATATAGTTGGCAAGAAGAAAAAAGACAAAGAAAGAAAAAGAAAAGAGTGAGTGAGTGAGATCAAAAGTAGAAATAGCAAAGATCCTTCCCAACAGGTGAAACCTTTTATCGCACGGGGAAAATCGCTAATAATTGATAAGCAATGACTGATGAGTGAACGAAGCAAGAACCCAAGCGCCAGACCCATTCTCACAACTCCATTAAATGCACGATGCGACTGCTGTCAAAGACCGAATAAAGGAACACACAGCAACTCTTTTCCGAGCAGGAGGGCGATCTGAAAGTCTAGCTCTAGGACGCATCAAAAGGATAACAAGAAAAACTCAAATGGGTAACATAAAACAAAAAGAAATCAGCGACAGCTCATGAGTGTGGTCAGAAAAGTACAAACGAGACGGGGTCAAAATGCTAAACCTTAATGGAAGAAGTAGAGTAGACTGATAAATGAGAGAAATCAATAATGCATGGTGTTTGCATTGGCAAAGTGACCAGGTTGCTGGGTGAAATATTGGCTTTGCTGATATGCCTGAGGTTGCGGGGTTTGAAGTTGCCCATACCAAGATTGACGCCGGGGCTCCTCAGGTCGGTACGATTGATTGAGGGCATCCCATGTGTGGCTTGCCGCTGGGATATTGTAAACACTGTTATGGGTGCCACTTTGGATTCCATATGAGCTGGTTGGCGGTATAGGATGCTGCTGCCACTGCTGTTGACGTTGGGCAATAGCATGCTGCACCATGTGAGAAGACATGCCTTCCATGATGCTCTTCTTCTCACGCTCCCGAGCATCAATGGCACCCACTAGTCCCATAGGATTAACCGGTTGTTGCTGCTTTTGGTTCCCACTGCTGAGATTAAAGAACGATGAACCGGTCATCCGAGCCACATGTTCCTGTTCTCGAGCAGAAAGGTGAGACGAGATATCATTATAGTTGATCATGCTATTGGCGCCGCGAGAACGGGGTCGCCCTTGGCTGTCTCGACCAATGCTCATTTGAGAATGAGATCGGTTGTGAGCCATCCAATCACCGGATACAGGCCGTGCCGGTGGGGTTGTTGGGGTCGCAGAAGAAGTCCGGTGGTGTATATGGAGTGGTGGACTAGGTGCTGCACGCTGCTGCACGAACTGCTCTGGCGTGAGACCCGGTGTGACTGGACGCGCGGCGGCCATACCAGGTTGCCACAAGACACTTCGTCGGAACTCATCCTGGCTTGGTGACCGTGAGTGACCACGGTCCATCTGAGAGTATCGCTGTCTTTCGGTGGATTCCGAGTCACTCCTCTGGTGACCAAGCTTCTTCAAAGTATCAGAAGTAGTTGGACGCCCAGTCGTTGGCATGAGAGTCATAGTTGGACCGAAATCAACACTGGGGATATCAGGGTTATGTTTTTGCGATGGCTGGTCGACGGAATAATGAGCATCACCAATTACCAGGTCCTTCTTGGGCTCCGTTCCAACAGTCTTCATTATGCCCATTCTCGGCCTAGGTATCGACTTAGTAGAACGTTTGCTGTAGATGGACCCACGCGTACTGGCGTAGTCTGGGGAGGTCGTGGATTCATCATCATAAACGCTTTCGTCCTCCTGGTGGCGCTCCTTGACAGGCGAAGGGAAAGATGGTTGGTAAGAGCTGACACGGTTCAGGGCCTCTTCGTCAACAGTATGACGCAGATCATCAAAACTAGGTTCAATGGGGCTTGATACGGTAGAATCTTTGCTTTGCTGGCCTGGAAGTGGCTTCCTCCTGACAGACTTCTTTGTATCAATATGAAGGTTACCCTCACTTAGCTTCTCTAGAGGAGGGCCGAATACGCTGGTCCTATGCTCTGGTGTTGGCGGACCCTGTTCCTGTGGACTGCCTCTCTTGTCACTCGATTCCGACAAGGAAGGGACACTTGGCATTTCAAACTCAGCTTTGTAGGAATCGGTAGGGGTCGGAGTTTGAAGCTTTTGATCGTCAGTCTCTCTGACCTTTTGTCCTTCAAAGGACATGGCGCCGAGCAGATTCATCCTTCCTGAAGCGGCAGCAAGCTGCGCAAGTGTCGCGTTGGACATTCTGTTATTAGCCTTCCTCAGATCTGGTGATGGGTGCGGCCGTGCTGAGGGCATTTCGCCTGGTCCATGAGTAAAAGCCGGGGGGTTGGAGACTGGCGAGGGAGGTGAGGGCTCCCGGAACTGTTCTCGAATAGCTTCGGCCTCAGGTACAATGTGGGAATCTAAACGTTGTCTCCAGTCACTATCAGAGCTGCTCTGATCGTTGAACTCGTTGGTACTAGGACGCTCGTTTCCAGCTTGTATTAAGTCACGCGCCGAAGAAGACGGAGAGCTCTCGACTACAGAAGCCTGCGCTTGCTTTCTGACAGCGGAGAGTCCAGCTGTATCTGAAGCACCCCGTGCATGATAGATTGGCGAGAAATTTGCATCATCAGACTCCTCTTGAACTATCGCATCGGTAGACACATTGTAGCCAGGTTCGCTCTCCGGGAAGGTCTCGTTTCGGCGAAGTCCAGCGTGAACATTGCTATGGCGACTTGGAAGACTCGCTCGAAAACGCGGTTTACTGGAGATGCTGCTTGTTCTGCTGCCAGCAGCTGCCATGCGACGTGCAGTCGCCTCCTTCAGCTGTTTCCTCCATTCTGCCTCACTCCAATTCTGGCTACTCGCAGTTTGCATCAAATTAGCGATGTCCAAGATATCCAGATAGCCATAACGCCGCTGTTTCGGAAACGCAAACATAATGCTCTTAATATGATTTGTAGCGGCAATTAGACGGGTCGGGCGTCCATAAAGATTGAAAGTGTCGAAAGTGGGCATCAGAAACCGTATCATCGTCTCGAAACCGGACACGGCTGGATGTGACTCTGGCATGACGAAAACAAACCCTTCTGAATTCGACTGTTGCTGAGAATGAATTGTGACATTTCCCTCAATCTTTACCAAGGTGGATTGATCAATTAGCGCCTCAGACTGAGGATATATAGCGTAAGCACTGTAGGCATCGGTGATTGTCGCAATCGGCTTCGCTTTCTTCGTTTTCTTCGTCTCATAGAACATAATGTTTCCTGTGACCAGTTTAGGTGCCCGGTCATAGGCCGACTTTTTCTTAAGGGACTTCTGCGCTTTTTGGAATTCTTTTTCATTTGGAGGGGTGATAACAAACCAGCACCGCCTCCAAGGCGTCCCCGCCCCGAATCTCACACGAGCCCAATCCTCATGCTTGAAGCGATTGCGTTCGAGAATGGTGCGTATACCGTTGAGGCTCTTTCCTTTTCCTGCAATGATTGCACCGGTGTATGCCTCGTACAGTGATGTATGTTCAAACAAGGATAAGCGGATGGCCGAAGTCCATTGTACCAGAGAATGGAAGGAGTTAAAATGCAGAAGGTATCGATTCTGACCTGCTGAGCAGATACTTAGAACATTCTTCACTGTCGGTGTCTCTGAGTTCCGGGTAGGTAGCGTTTCGATCTACGGGTGCCGCAAAATCAGCAAAGGCGAACCCCCAAGGCTATGTCTTGGAGATATTGTAGACTCACCACTTTGATGGACGCATCCGCCAGGTTAATAAAGGTTGGAGGGCCTTCTTTTTCACCCGCTGCGTCCAGCGCAGCGGCATCCCATAGTGAAAGAGCTGTCCCGATAAGTTGTGCATAGCATTCCACCCACTGTCGATCAGGACAGGGCCGACCATCTGCGCATTGTTAATTAGTTACGCTTATGATCCACCGATATCTTCCGAATACTCACGGTTATCTAGATCATTCAATTTCAAAAAATAGCCTTCATGGTACAGCTTGTTCGCATGACTGTTGAGGAAAGTGAAGATTGGCTGGAGCTCAGGAGGGGTATCTTGGGAGATTTCTATGAACGGAGGATCGTGTGAAAAGATCGTTGACGCAGGCCGCGATATCCGGCGGTCGTTCGATGACAGTCCTGTTGGCGAGGCATCTTGAGGGGAGGGTGTATCTGTATCCACTCTTGACGGAGGCGTGTTCCCTGCGACTGAAGCTGAGAATGCCCGATGACGTTGTTCAGGACGATCTTTGCGGGACGAGCCACCAAATGCCGATATGAAAGATAGCACTGATAACGCAAGGGGCGTTAACCGTCGCCGTTCACATTCCTGAAAAGGAGGGCTTAGGGACAATTCTACTCACCACGCGAGCGAACCATATTGTCGT